GGCAGAAAGTGCCGAACTATGTGACCTTTGTTTATGGTGCACCTCGGGTCGAAGAGAAGATGGAGGTATGGAGAAAAATGAGAAGCATTGCAAGTGGTATTCGGGGTACTTGGCTCTGCATGGGTGATTTTAACGATATAGCTTCAGTGTATGAGAAGATGGGAAATAGACCGGCAGATATGAGGAGAATAATGAATTTTCAGAGTATGCTGTCTGACTGTGCTCTGATGGATCTGGATTACTCTGGTGCCCGATTTACTTGGTGTAACCAGAGGCTAGGTGAAGCACATGTAAAAGAGAGGATTGATAGAGCAATGGGTAACGTGGAATTCAGGGAGGTTTTTCACTCAGCCTTGGTGCTACACATTGAGCCGATAGGATCAGACCATCATATGATTGCAGTTGATAGTGATTTTAAGCATGTGCGGGGCCAGAAAATGTTTAAATTAGAAGCCACATGGTTGGAGCATGAAGATTACTTGAATAAAGTTAGAGAAGGATGGTTGCATAAAGATGTGATTGGGAGCAATAAGGTGGAGGAATTGGCTAGCAGACTGAATAATTGCAAAAAAATTCTATCAGAATGGGGAGGAGGGCCTTTCCAAATGCCCGCAAGGTGGTTGACAGGTTATCAGCAAAACTTGAAGAATGCAGAAGAGGAGAATTGACTACAGCCAGGAGGACGAAAATAGAGGAATTGATTGAAAAGATTGAAGAGGCGTGGGAGAGAGAGGAGGTGTATTGGTGGCAGAGATCAAGAATTCAGTGGTTGAATGCTGGGGACAGAAATACAAGGTTTTTTCACTCGTGCACTATTCAGAGAAGAGTGAGAAATAAAATTGTGAGACTGAAGGGGAATGGGGGTAGATGGCTGGAGAATGAAGAGGAGATAAATAATTCCTTTATTAACTTCTATAGTAAACTCTTTTCCTCGGATGGTTGCAGAAATTTAGATGTGGCTTTGAGTTTTGTTAAAAACTTGGTGAGTGGGGAAGAAAATGCGAGCTTGGAAGAAGCAGTAACCAGGGAGGAAATCAAGAGTGCAGCTTTCCAGTTGGGTGCACTAAAAGCTCCTGGACCTGATGGATTCTCTGGAATGTTCTACCACTCTGCCTGGGGGACAATTGAGAAGGAGGTGATTGAGATGGTCTTTGACTTTTTCAGTAATAATGCTAAGTTGACAGCTTTGAATAAAACTAACGTAGTGCTTATACCGAAAGTAGAAAATGCTGAATGTGTGGGTCAGTATAGGCCTATAGGGCTTTGCAATTTTGCTTATAAGATTGTCTCCAAAATCTTGGCAAATAGGATGAAGCCCATTCTGGCCAGGACTATTTCTCAAAATCAAAGAGCCTTTATTGAAGGGCGCTTGATACAAGACAATATCATCATTGCACATGAAGCCTATCACTACCTGAAGAATAAGAAAAAGGGTAAGAAATATGAGATGGCGGTGAAAATAGACATGAACAAGGCGTACGATAGATTGGAGTGGAGGTTCATTGAAGAAGTTATGAGGAAGATGGGCTTTAGTGAAAAGTGGATTGCCTGGATTATGGAGTGCGTGCAATCTGTGATGCTGAATTTAGTGATAGGAGGTAAGAAGATCGCAGAAATTGAAATGAGAAGAGGAATCCGTCAAGGGGATCCTCTTTCTCCTTTTCTATTCATTATCGCAGCTGATGCACTGTCTTCAATGGTCCAGTGGCATGTAGATATGGGTTTGCTGAAGGGAATAAAGTTAGCAAAGCACTGCCCTATCCTTTCTCATTGTTTCTTCGCTGATGACTCTCTCTTTTTTATTAATGCCAAGAGGAATAATTGTAGAAGATTAATGGAGATTTTGAATGTCTATTCCCAAGCCTCGGGGCAGACTATTAACCTGGACAAATCTTGTGTTTTTTTCTCTAAGAACACGGTTGAAAAGGTGAAGCAGGAAGCCTTTGAGGTGCTGGGAATAAGTGCAGCAGTGAATCCGGGCAGATACTTGGGGTTACCAGTTATTTGGAGCAGATCCAAAGCGGAAGCTCTGAGATTTGTGAAGAATAAGATGGGATTAAAGGTGCAAGGATGGAAGCAGAGACTCTTGACCTTTGCTGGGAGAGAGATTATGATTAAGGCAGTAGCAAATGCAATTCCTATCTTCCCGATGTCTTGCTTCAAATTTCCAAAGAGTGTTTGCATGGAACTAGACAGTTTGGTAGCCGGCTTTTGGTGGGGGCAGAAGGAAAATGAAGGCAGAATACATTGGAAGTCTTGGAAGTATATGTGCAAGGATAAGGGGGGTGGTGGAATGGGATTTCGTGACTTCATGAAATTCAATGATGCTTTATTAGCTAAAACGGCATGGAGGCTGTGTCAGAATCAAGATGATCTTTGGTGTAAGATTCTGAAGGGTCTATACTTCCATGATAAAGATTTTATGCAAGCTGACAAGGGAAGCAAGCCGTCCTGGTGTTGGTCTAGTATGCTGGATGGAAGGGAACTGTTGAGGAGAGATCTAGTATGGAGGGTGAGTAAAGGAGACAAAGTGAAGCTATTTGAAGATAGCTGGTTACCTGAGGCCAAAGGATACAAGTTGAGGCAGAGGGATCTTACTGACGACATGAAAGCTGTGATGGTTGCAGATATTATAGCTGAGAGACAGTGGTGTTTTGTGAAGGTGGAACAATGGCTTTCGAACGAAGATAAAGAAGCAATAAGGAGAGTTCGGATTCCTATTATTGAGGAAGAAGACAAGTATATATGGTTGGGCAATAAAGATGGCACCTATGCTGTGAAGAGGGGATATAAGATAGCTAGAGACCTGAAGCTAGCCACTGACAAAGATACTCCAAGTTGCTCTTACAGGGTAGATGATGGCCTTTGGAAATTTTTATGGAAGATTAAGGCTCCACCAAAAGTTATTCACTTTCTGTGGAGAGCTTTGTGCGGTGCTTTGGCAACTAAATATGCTTTACACAAGAGAAGATGCGCTCATGCTCCTGCTTGTAATATCTGTCATTCTCAGGAAGAGTCAGTTGAGCATGCCCTTTTCTTGTGTCCTTGGGCAAAACTTTGCTGGTTTGGCTCGCCTTTAGCTTTGAAGTTTGATGAAAGTATTATGGTGAGGTTTGATCGCTGGTTTGAGAATTGGACTGCTAATAAATCTGTGACTGATGATTATAATATAGCCCTCTTTGCTTGTATTTGCTGGCAAATCTGGAAATGCAGATGTGGTTCCGTTTTTGAAGGAAGGGAAGTTGAAGCTGTAAGATGTCTAGAAACGGCAATTAGACTGACTAATGAGTTTTGGAGCAGCTTGAGTAGAAAGAGTGGTAGGCTTTCGGCCCCCCAGAGCTATGAAAGGGCCCAGGCTTGGCAAAAACCAACACAAGGCACGGTGAAGATTAATGTTGATGGTGCCTATGATGCAGAAAATGGCTTGGCTGGGGTCGGGGTTATTGGGAGAGATAAGGATGGGAGGTTTCTAGGGGGCGTGGGGTTGAAAGTAGAAGCCCAGTCTGCATTTATGGCAGAGTGTTTGGCTTTATTAGAAGCCTTTAATATCATAGATTTATTTGGAGTTGGAAAAGCAATTTTAGAGACTGATTGTCTGGAGTTGTACAGGCGTATAAAGGATAAGGATATAGTCGGGTGTGATTGGAGGTGTAGAGATGTGTTACAGAAGTGCTTGGATCTGGGAAGGGTTGACTGCAACTGGGATTTGTCTTTGGTTTCTAGAAAAGGCAATAATGCTGCTGATAATATTGCAGCTTTGGCAATGAGAAGTGTGGTCCCGCAAGGATGGATTGAAGATCCACCACCCTCTCTGCGTAGTATTCTGTTGCAAGACCTGGACAGTGATGGTGCTTCTGTGGCTGTTCGTGCTGGTATAGGCTAAGTCTTGTTTTTTCCTTGCCTTTTCTCTAGGTTGTACTCTAGGCTTTTATTGCTTTCTGTCCTTTCTTTCTGCTGTGGTTTTTTTGGCCTTTTGTGTTTCCCTTTCGTTTCTTTTCAGGTTATTAGTGAGTGTTTATCTTTTTGATATATTAATAATATGGACTTTCTTTTGCTCAAAAAAAAAAAAAAAAACAAAGAGGGTCACAACATAATAATACAAAGTTACAAGCAATAGTATGTTCAGAAACATTTGCGAGGTGCGTGCTTTGCTCATAATTTTAGGGTATTTATTGGAAAAATCATTCTTAAGGTACCTATAATTTTTTTAAAAAATTTTAATTTGATACCTGTGATTTTTTCTTTCCATATTAAATCATTTAATTTTACTGTCTAAGCACAATTAGTTTTTGTATATAGTCTAATAATGCTAATGGAGCAAAGTTATAGGAATAAATAATGTTAAAAGAGTAAGATTAAAAAATTTAATAAGAAAAAAAATACACAGATACCAAATTAAAGACCGGAGGAAACCATAAGTACCCCAAGAATAGTTTTCCCGATCATTACTCATCAAATGAGGCAAATTTTTATAAATTTTATTATTGATATCATCATATTAATATTACCTCATTTAATTCTTAATACTACTTCCGATTCTTAATATAAGAGTTATTTCGACATTTAATTTGGTTATGACTATAAAACTTTAATCTACTTTGTTTTTTATATTTATCTTTTTTTAAAAAAATAGTTTTTGTAATAGTTATACATATTAAATGTTTTATAAAATAGTAGTTCTAACTAATATATATAATTAACAAGTATATTTTTAAAAAAACACCTATTTATTATAAATAATTAACTTAATTAATTTTTTTAATATATTCAAATTAGTCAATACCAAACACTTTATTATCGTGGCCACGAGGTCAAATTTTTGTGGTAAGGATGGACATGTAAATTCTTCCAGTAAATAAAAGATGATTCAATCAACATTGTAATTTAATTTTCCGAGGTAAAACACTTTAGAAATCATTTTAAAAAAAATATGAATATGCAAGAGAAATAGGATGAATACCTTGAGAAAATTAATATCCAAATCGGACCAAGATTGATATCGTAACTTCGATTCGGTTTGTATCGGTGTAAGATTCTTGCAGGATCTACTGGAGCTAGTATTCTCTATTCTGTCTATCGGGCTCGCACATAACATGGTTGTTGTGTGAAATGTAAATAGCGACGCATGGAAAGACAGCGTCGGAGTTTCACGGCGGCGGATGGAAAAATGGCCACCGGCGACCGGTTGGACAAGAGAAGAACACCTTCGGGAGCTCTGACCCCAATTCTCTGTCTCGATCACGATATCCTCTGTATGATATTCGCTTACCTCGACATATTCGATCTCGTTCGCTGCTCTGCTGTCTGTAAAATTTGGTATTCTTCTTGTCCTCTTCTTGCGCTTGAATGTTTGGAGAGTTGTGATTTACGCAGTTGGCTGATACGGCAGCAAACTTTATATTACTTTCATGTTATAGCTCTTCTTTTATTTGAAGCTTCAAACGTCTTGTATTTGATCAAATGTGCCTGTTTCCCTATTTTTATGAAGGAATTCGATCATCAACGACTCTAGTCTGCTGAAGAAATATTATTATAAGCTGCGGATTAGCTCTAACTTTGGTCCTTCTGCATCACGCGAAAAGCCACTGAGGATAGTTCTACAGGAACTTGCTATGGAGCAGCATAGATTAGCGTTTCAAGAAGGTAACATTCATATCGATCAGTGGAGAGGTCATTCGGGCAGGTAACTGTTTTATGACTTCTTGCGTCTACCCGTTGAATTGCTTGGCAAAACATCTGTTGTTTCTTTTATCTAGATGTTTCTCAAATAATTTTCAGCAATTTTAATGGATGACTTAAAAGCGGACAGTTATGTTTACCATTACGATGGCTCAATATGTGTTATTGAGACAATCATATATATAGTGCTCGCTATCTTCAGCATTTATCTGGGAAGCATTAGAATTATGGACTATTGTATACAGTTTTCGGTATGGAACCTTTTCTTTAGAAGGACTGAATGTGATTTTTATTTTGCAACTATTAATTTTTGTTCACTGTATATGTCTTCATATTGTCCGAGACAGGTTCTTTTGTTAGCCAAAGGTGCTTCTAGTTTTATCTTATCTTTAATGAAGTAAGCCTATTTGCAGTATTGCAGAGTTGTTTAGTACCTATTGGATAGTAGATTGCTGCTCTCATTAATAATGTGATAGTAATGAGAATAGAAAATGAAGATGCAGATGGTAGTGGCTGGGGCATTAACTTTCCCTTAAGAACACAGCCAGCCACCAAGATAGATGGTCATTGTGAGTGCCAGCTTTCTTGCTTCAACGGCTACAATGCCTTTTTTCATATGAAATGCTACCTTTACCTGTTGATATAACTACCATTATTTCCGTTACAACCATCATCTTCCTCGTAACAAATACACATTTGAATTCTGTTAGGCAAGCATAAGTTTTAAAAAATTGTCATATATAAGCTGAAAGCATGATTTCTCATCTGAATCATGATCAAGTTCCCCATTCTGATACCTTTGAGGCGTCCATGAATGTATTTATTGATTGTATGATAATTTTTTTTTTTTTTGGTGCCTGAGTGATCTGCATCTGGATATCTATCAGTATGTTTCATATTAATGATTTAACATTGCTTTCTGGTTTAGGGTTGATCAGTGCCGCATGAAAATGGGCTTGATTCTTACTGGTGTTGGAGACAAGGTATGGCACTGTTCTTAGTTTCCTACTGATTCATTACCTACATTTACAACCTTAAGGCTTCCTTTCCCGGAGTGCTGGTTTGGAGCAGAAACCTGTAGCTCATGGGATTCTGGCCTCTGCTTTTTCATCCTGATGTACGGGTTCACTTTCCCCCATGCCCCTTTCCCCACTGTCTAATCTTATGGCCTTGCATATCCTTTGAACAGGAAAAAAAGAAAAAGAAAAAAAGAATGCCTTATATCTGATTATCTGACTTATATTAGGAAGACTAAAAATTTGGTGGTCTTTCATGAAGTCATTTGGAAATGCTGGCGGATGTCATATAACCATAGAATTTACTATCCAAGCTCAGAAAGACTTATCACCAAATAGACTAACGCTGTTCAGCGCAGATGGTATCTGTCTAAAGTGTTCCTCTGTTTAGTGCCAGGAGGAAATTGGGGTGAAGTTTTGTGAAGACATTTTGTACTTCTGGACTAGATGTCTTACTGGTTCTTCGTACCTGTTTATTTGGAAACAATCACAAGGAGAGGTTTTGGGAATGTGATATTTCTTAGTTCATTTGTAATAAAATGTTGAATCCATAGGTTCTATTTTTATCTGTGTATTTTGTCTTTGGAAGTGGATTAATTTAACACTATTGTGGAAGCTGAAGAAAAGTGGCTAACCTGACATAATTCCCTCTGTACGTGCTCTGTACATGTGGAAGCTACTTGGAGCATATTGAACATTATGTGAATTTAGTTGTCTTCATAGTCTCTTCTGTCTTTCTCTTTGGTATTTTTATGGGTTTATGTGAGGTTTGAGTCCTTGCTCTACTAACATTTTGCATGGTATTATCTAAGGTTATGCGTCTCTGGTCATTGGAAGGCTATAGATGCATGGAAGAATACTCAACACCGGACAAAGTCTCTCTTGTTGACTTTGATTTTGATGAGAGCAAGGTAATTGTTTACAGAAATGATTTATGATTAGTTTCCTGTGTGTCTCTGGCTTGAATGATATATGGTTGGTGCCTGACTGTGCAATTTTATTTGAGGTTGGGCCCAGATGGCCCTTGTAACTATAAGAAGAGTAATAAAGATTGAGTCCAGGTTAAACAGATATGTGATAGGAAACGTAGCTTGAATTATCTTTATTTTAAAATTTATGATTTAATTTACTTTAAATTAGGATTTATCTTTGATCTACATAACAATATGAATAAAGTTTATCTTACTTTTAGGGTTATGATGGTTTGACTAGCATTAGGAATTGGGCTCTATAAATAAGCCCTAGAACTATTTATTTGTATTGCCTTCTGCCTATTGAAAATTTCAAACCCCCCCCCCGGGGGGTTCACTGTTTTACATCAATGTCTTTTGAGCGAGTTGTTTGCCTAGCAACTACTGTTGAGCTTTAGGGAGCTTAGATTAGAGGTTCCAACAGTTAAAACAGTGACTCATTTATGAAAGAACCAAAACAGCAATTCAGGTTTCAAGCAGAAGTTTTGCCTCTAATCAATTAGCTCAGTACACTTTAGACTGCCATTTTTGTGTCCCTTGGAAGCTGAAGTTCATTTGCTTTTTCTCGATCTCTTATTTTATATTTCAATTTTCTTCGGGAATTTTTTGTTCTGTCAATCGTCTTTAGGTTAGCAATAAGCCATTAATGTATTATAACCTTTCATCTTTTCTTTCAGTAGCTGATAAATGCTGCTGTTATTAAGTTTATGGATTATGGTGCATAAAGCGCTTAAATTTTGTATGCTTTTCCATTTCTGATTTCCTTTCATGATCATTCATTATTTTTTAGATTGTTGGTCTTGTTGGTACACGTGTATGCATTTGGAGGCGCAATGGGAAAAGAAGTATATTTCCTTCCCAAGAAGGAACATTTCCAAAAGGTTTATGCATGCGGTAAAAATGTGAATTGTCCATTTTTTCTGGCTTATGTCCAAGCTGTGTTACAACTCAGTAGATCTTATACGCATGGTGTGGAGCCATGATATGAAGTGAGAAATTTAATGTATGATTAGTTGTATGTGAGGCTTTGTTGAATGCAACCCTGCCCTCCTTCTGAAATTGCCTTAAGTGTATCTCAAAAGGGTCAAAGTAATCAGATCAGAAAGGAAAAGGATTCAACTAATCACTCAGCATCTCTATGAGGATTTTTGGAGGACCCCTAAATCTGATGTAATTCAAAGAAAAAACCCTTGAGAATTGAAATTTGATGATGACATTAAGGAGCTCCAAATTCCTGTAGACTGATGAATGTGGAATTCCTGCATTGTTTGATGTTAGTAGCAGTTTAGGGGATAGTATTGAATAATTGCTTATAAAAGTAGGATACGTAAGCCATGGTATCTTCAATAAAGATAATGTTGAGAAAATGGGGAGTGTGCCAGGAAAGAAAATAAAAGAGTATGGACTGAAGACTACTGAAGTCCGTGTATATTACTTGGCCCCAAAGATGCATTCTGTTTAATAACTACAGAATGATGAGAATACCCTGTACTTCGTTACTTGACATTGTCTATCTTAAAACAATGACATTTTCTCAATTACTCAGCACTTTTCTGAATTTACTCACAGTTTTAACTACAGTCATCAAGTGGTGACTTCATGTTTGTATCAAGGAGTAGTGCCTTATGAGGCATGTACAGTAATCTAGAAACAAACATTAGAAAGTAGAACTGATCATATAGAAGTATTGCAAGCCAAATGAAAGTTTCAACCTCTAAGCAAGATTCATCCTTACAAAGGAAGTTATAGGTGATGAAGAATGAGGGGAATTATTGGAAATTAACGTGGAGAAGGACTTACCATGCCGTTAGGCATTCTTTTTTACTACTATCTATGTATTTAATAGATCTTAAAGGAAGCTAAATGATCTATCAATAGTGCCAATTTGACTTCCTTTGTGCTTCATGCTTTTGTCTTTTGTCTTCTACTTTTTTATTTTTGATCATTTTATTCTCTCCAAAACTTAAAATTTTTTTCTTGCAAGTCATGTTCTTCAAATTATCATCTATCCCGTGTGCTGTATGGGGAAGATCTAGTTTCAATATATTTCATGGGCACGATCCATATTAATTTTAATTAAATAATTATATGTTGAATTCTAGTTACTATCCAGTTTCTCTTCTAGCTACTTTCCCTCGTGCTTTGGTTTTCTACTTAAATATGGTAATCATAAGTCCTGAATTATAAAATCCCATCCCTGAAAGTTGATATGATTCTTCTGTGCTTACAGTTACTTTGATCCAGATGCTGTGATTGGATGTGAGGATGGGACAGCTCGTGTTTTTGACATGTATAGTAGGAGATGCTCTCAAATTATAAGGTGTTTTAACTTGTGCTGTGGATCCGAAAAATTGGGTTTGCATGAAAAGAATATGGATTACCTATTGTGGGAAAATAAATTTTGCTTTTTATGTTTGCCTAAAATAAATAAACCTCATTGTTTAGTTGTTGATTTGTTTGTAATTTGGAGACTAACTTTGAAGAGATAGAATTACACTAATGATGTTTGCAATTTGCTATTTGCAGGATGCATTCTTCACCTATAAGTAGTTTATGTTTGGGTGATGATCAACTGATACTGAGTGGTTCCTCATTCGGAAGCATCACAATATCAGATCCTTCCTCTCTTAAGCAAGTAGCAAAACTTAAATCAATTGATGGAACAGGTAGCAGCTTATTTCTTTGGACTGGTTTTTCTTTTGTTGGCTGTGATTTGCATATGAATGAAGAGGAATGTGCTGTGATTTGTAATCCGGAATTGTCAAAATTATTTTTTGGTTTTACGTGAGAAGATGGTCTTACTTTTTTCTAGGGTTTTATTCTTATCTTTTTTTCTTTTTTTTTAATTATTGGTTGCGAATCTTCACTTCATATGTTTTGACCAGCATTTTAGCGTAATGCTCTGACCAACGTCTGATTTCAACTTCTTTTTTTTTTTTTTTGGGTAGCTATAAGGACATTATGCCTTAACCCCGCTTCTGAGCTTGTGTTTGCTGGATCAGCTGCTGGGTATACCTACTGTTGGGACCTTAGGTAAGTGACCAAACTGTTGTGCTCTAGTTCGGTTTCTTAAGCGCGCTGCACTTGCCCTTGGAATATCGAATTCCAAGTGCATCAAAATGTTCAAAGCTCGAAGTAAAAAGAACTTATTAGATTCACCACCTTTTCATGGGTGCTTCTCTATGTTTTCCCAGTAGATAGGTTATAAGAAGTCAAAGACCTATATGATATATTATTTCTGGTCTCCTAAATGGAAGGAGTGGATAATTAATTCATGAAAATTAGTTAAGTTAATTATTTGTAAAAAATGTGTTGGTTTGTCTAAATTCTCCTTTTAATTATTTACATTGGAAATTACTCCAATTGATGGAAACTCTTTTAATATGTGCCGTTAATAGGGATAATTTGGGGGGGGGGGGAATATAAATTTGAAAGAAAAAAATGAAATTTTACGATTAAGATTAAAGCAAACTCGGCAGAAATATCAATATGGGACAAACTCATTCTTCATGCGTTAGTTATTGTATGATGTTTTGGTATTTATCCACTACAAAGTTCATCTTTTTGAATAATCACCCATGTAATATTTGTCTGTTCATAATAAGCAGGACAAGGAGACCATTATGGGAGAAACGGGTGGGCTCTAATATATTCTCTGTACAATACCTGCAAAATGACACGTCAACATTAGCCGTTGGTGGAATAGACGGCGTCTTACGAATCTTAGATCAGAATAATGGTAACATAATCTCGCGTTGTATAGCCAAGGATGGTTTGATATCAACTCATCAAGGTCCTTCTGGAGCCATTCAGAGACTGAAAGGGAAAAGGATACATGAAGATGCCATTATCGACACCATCCCCAGGATTGCTCGACCACCTATCACTTGCTTGGCCGTGGGAATGAAGAAGGTTGTCACCACACACGGTACTGGAAACATTAGAATGTGGAAATTCAATTGAGAACCTGAACTTGTTTCTTGGAAGATTATGACTTGCTCTGTTATTAACCAATTAGATATTAGGAGGCCCTATATATTGTAGGGAATATGAGACATGACATATATGTTGTTACATTAAAGATTTTTGAATTCTCGGTTTCGCTTAAGAAAAAGATAATAATAAAGGGGATTTTGAATCTTCAAGATGATACACAAATGTACAAGTTTTTTGGGATGCTTGGACAGAAACAAAACTATAGTTTTAAAAGTGCTTCTTATGTCAAAACATTAAAAAATGATGAATGAAATGGTCATTATACCACCAACAACGTAACATAATTATGAATGATGAAAGACAAATTAAAAATCCCGAGCAATTAAGTTTTGAATTTTGAAGGGTGAGATTAAACTATTAAAAAAAACTAACTTATAAAACTGAGTAAATTTAATTATAAAAAATAAGCTGTCATATATATTTTTTTTTTGAAAAAAGATTTTTTAATATAACTTAAAATTTGACTCAATTTTTTAGTATTTATCACTTGTCTAACATTATTTATAGCTCAATCAGTCACCTTACCAGCTAGACAAACAGTTTGTTGTCAATATTGTGTTTTATTTTAGCAGTAAAAAATTTTAAAGATTGGGGGTCGTTTTAATATTCCATAATTTTTGGGACTCAATCTATAAATATTATATTTATAGGGCCCATTATGCCATTCGTCCTTTCTTTGGGGCACTATATTGGGAAGGGGAATACTGACTTCTTCATCTGAAGAGCAAGCTGAAATAACTCATAAGGTCTCCGCAGAGCCCCGCCCTGAAAACCCTAGAACACGAAATTTGCTCTGAATCGACGAAGCAACGATGGTGTGCATAAGGAAGGCCACAGTAGATGATCTATTGGCTATGCAAGCCTGTAATTTGTTCTGTCTTCCTGAGAATTATCAGATGAAGTATTATCTCTACCACATCCTCTCGTGGCCTCAGCTTCTCTACGTCGCCGAAGATTACAACGGCAAAATCGTCGGTTACGTTCTGGCCAAAATGGAAGAAGAAACCAACGAGTGCCATGGCCACATCACCTCCCTCGCCGTACTTCGAACCCACCGCAAGCTCGGTTTGGCTACCAAGCTCATGAACGCTGCTCAGAACGCTATGGAGCAAGTCTTTGGAGCTGAGTATGTTTCTCTTCACGTCAGGAAGAGTAATCGGGCGGCCTTTAATTTGTACACCGAGACTTTGGGGTATAAGATTCACGATGTGGAAGCTAAGTATTATGCTGATGGGGAGGATGCTTATGACATGAGGAAGCAGCTGAAGGGTAAGCAACATCATCATCATGGCGGTGGTCATCACCATCACCACCACCACCACCACCACCACCATCACCACGGCGGTGGCTGTTGTTCCGGTGAGGCAAAGGCGGAGAAGACAGAGACCAAGGGGAATGCCAAAGGAGATTCAAAAGGGAATGCTAAAGCAACGTGATCATGAAAGCAGTTAATGGTCTTAGATAAGTTCATCATGAAATATTTGTGCGATGGTTGGTGTTTTTGTCCAATTTTCTGAAGCTGCTCATTTTCCCTATCGATGAGAGCTGGGATTATGGTGGCAGTGGATGTTAATCTTTATTGTCTTGATGTACTGGGTCTAGACAAGTTAAACATGTAATATTTGTGCCTTGGTTGGTATTTTCTCCAATTTTTCAAAAAGTTTCTCTTTGTCCCCATTTGTGAGACGATTGGGATTAAAATTAATCTTTATTTTCTAGATTTAAGTTGTTGAAATGATGTTCTGCGCTGAAAGATGAATTAACATTCCTGTGTTACAACTCAAAACCTCTAATGGAATTTCGGTCTTTATGTATGTTTTTGTTATCGCTTGTATTAGTCCCCTGATATCAGGGAAGAAGCCTAGAAGTTTGATGTTGTTATTCCCTAGAGAGATTTCGATCATTCTACCTGAGGAAGGAAAGTAATTCTTTAGGTTGATTCTTCTTCATCTATTGCCTTAGTTGCTGCTGTGAGTCACTGATGGGCGGAAAAGGGGAAAGTAGTACGCCACACATGGTATTGGTGAATGTAAAAGAATAGGTTCGGAAATGGTGTGTTTCTTGTGTTTAATTTGATGGAAAGCCATAATGAGTGACATTTATGGCTATTCCACGATGTTTGATATGCCGATTTTGTCATCTTTCTTGCTGTTAGAACAAATTGATTCACTAAGCCTTTCACTCTGTTTCAAATGTTCTACTTGCTGGCACATCCGTGGTGAATGTGCCATTAATAGCTTACAGTTTGCTGAATATTCCAGTTTATCTAGCTTTCCAGTTGTCTGTCTAGATTTACTGAATTCCTCATTGTGCATCGTTTAATTGGAATGGTTTTATTTTTGGTTCAACTGATGAGCATGATATCTCTGCTGCACATAGTTTCACATTCAGAGACATCACTTACCTTGGGACAAGGAGTACTGTTTGAACACTAACGCAATGCAAGTTTCTGTTTTCTAAATGGTATTGGAATATAATGCCCAACATGTGTACTTGTTCAGAGGCATTTGCAATATCCATAAGCGTTGACAGTGTAAACTCGAGCCTTCCAAAGCAAATGCCTAATGGCTTATTCTGATTGTTATAGCCAGCAGGAACAGTGATTGCGGGGGATCCTCCGATTCGAAGAAAAGTAACACACTTCTGTCCAGTATATATCAAAGCGTCAAGCTGGTTATCTTTCATCAACTGCTCAAACCCGTTTTCGTAAAATCTTTCCATGTTTGCCAATGCTTCTTGAGCTGCATCGTTGATTCCACTTGTGAGGTTGGCTTGAATAAACAGGTCTTATGGAAATTCATCTATCCTCTCCTGGAAAACGAGGTCCAGTAGTTGTTACCGAACATGTGAATTTGAACAAGAAGACTGTTGAGAAGGAGCTTCAATTAGTTGTTACTTTCGAGGTTTATGTGTTCTTTGTTGAATGCTTGCTTACTAGATCTGCCACGGATCCAATTGGAGAAGATTCAAGCTTCTCATTGTCAATCACCAAATCACATATCTGTTGAACCTTTCTGCCTGAAATTCCAGAGTATGCATGTCAATATTTATGTGTGTATATAAAAGTGAGTTTTTACTACCTCCAGTCTTAAATATAAGAGCTTGTTGATTAATTTGAATAAATTAAAAAAATAAGTTAAGTTATTTATTTATAATAGATAAGTGTTGTCTTTCTTAAAATATTCTTATTAATTTATTAGCTAGAACTACTATTATTAAAAAGATTATCTTGAAAAAAAATGGATAAATGTGAGAGATAAAATAGCTTGGGGTGTTATATTTAGGATCAAAATAAAAATCAAATGGGATTTTTTTATTAATGATCAGAACTTATTAGTTGGAAATTAAAAGATGCTGATATGGAGTGTTGTCCACAAAATGAGGAGGGAAGTTGGAGGAATCTGAATTTCTGCATATTGTTACTCTCTTTGGAATGTTTTGGGCTGCCTCAATGGTCCCTGATCCGTTTCAATCTCTCCATTGCTATTTTTAGGTGAATGAAATATCTAAAAAAGGAAATAATTGTTGTCAATATGATCAGGTAATCTTTTATGCCATTATTGTCATTTTCTTTATCAATGTATGAATTTATTTATATAAAAAAATTTTAATTAGTATTTAAATACTAACTAGTTGTGGACCTGTCCTTTACGCACACTTTGAATCACATATCTATTATAGATTTTATATTTTATATTGATATTATTTCTTTCTTTTTTTTTTGCCAGATATATTGATATTTTTTATTCTTTAATCACTGTAAAAATACCTAAAATTCGCGACAGAAAATTTTGAAAACTTCAAAATCTATCACAGGTTTTTTTGGGCCAAAAATTCTATCACAAGTTCATTACAAAATTTTTGTGGCATCCTTATTTGCAACTGAATAACAGATTAATTTTGGCAATTGAATTAATTTTTAAAAGGTCTAACTGCCATTCTTCCTGTATCTTATTTCATATTCTTAATAAAAAAACAGATTAATTTTGGTTATTGAATTAATTTTTTAAAGGTCTAACCGCCATTCCTTTTGTTTTCTTTTTGCCGTTGAGCCTACGGTATCTATTGCAGGTATATAGACTTCCCAAAAGGGTTTTAGTAATGGTCATGAGACTCTTTATACACATTATCAGGGATCGAACCCTTGATTAAATACTCCTCCGGTCCTTAATATAAGACCCATTTAACTAATTTGATTAAATTAAGGAAGTTAGGTAAGTTAGTTAATTATAAGAAAAGTGACACATTTTTCCTAAAATACCATAATCATCTTTTTTAATACCCCATCTCCCTCTTCTATTTGATTATGGTTGAGGGAGTATCTATAGGGGTAATTTAGAGAAAATTGATAAATATGAGAAATGGGTCTTATATTTAGGACCCAAACCAACTCAAGAATTGGGTCATATATTAAGGACCGGAGGAGTATTTAAGAAGCCCCGCTAAGTGCTGACTGTTGTAAGCCAAATGGTTGGTTTAACTGTCATTCTTACTTTATCTTATTTCATATTCTTAATTTAAAAAAAAAAAGATTAATTTTGGTTATTGTTACGTGAAAGCAAGAACTTCCCCCGTTTATGTAGAGTTTCCGATTTTTGGAAGCCATCTTTCTCCATTCATTCATTATATGAAAAGAAAAACAGGAAAATAAATTGAAGGAGGAATAATATTGAATATATAGGAATTAATATGGTCCACTGAAAGGAATAGAATTTGAAGTTGTATTCCATTTATGGAAGGTCATACCCTTTTTTGTTAACTAATAATATGGCCCCACAATAACAAGTGCCGTCACCATTTAACAGCTAATATCCCAATAACTTCAACCTTTTAGCAATCTCTTGACACTTGCCGCTACTCACGGCTGAAAACCTCACGTTTTATGAAAATTCTTTTTTTTTTTTTTGGAAAAAAATTAACTCACAATTTTTTGTTAGAATACAAGTTTATAAAATAAATCATGCACCGATGAGTGAGCTTGTTTGTAATCTTAAGCAATTAGTGTATGCCTTTCCAATTTCAAAAAAAAATTTTCGTGCAAGAAAAACAAAATTAAAACGTGTTAGAATACTATAATTACCATGTAATACAATTAAAACAACAACAAAAAAACGTCCCTTCATTTTCAACACACACATATATATTTTTGCATAAATTTGGGTGCTCATCAAGAATGCTGAGTACTAAAATTTGAATCTCCTAACATGGACGGTTCCCATGTATTTTTTTTATTTTTATTGTAAAAAAATTATTTTAATGTATACAAAATCTAAAATAAATACAATCTCTTAATTGTCAGTTTTTAAAAAATAATTTTTATTTAAAAATAATCAGTTATTTAAAATTTTAAATTTGAATTGAAACTGGCAGATCTCATCATAATAATAATAAACATTGAAACTGGTTCCATATTTACACACACACAATCATATATACCACTCCATAATACTAAGATCAAATAACAATCTTCAATTGCCATAACATTATTTGAATGATCTGTTCAAGAAGCTTGGACACGGTGCGCATCTGAATGCACAGAACTGGAGAGGAAATCATCAAGAGGAGGAGGTTTTCTTCTGTGGATGGTGAGTTCTAGGGCGTAAGCGATCTGTATGAGTTTTGGTTCTGAGTATTTGAGGCCTGCAAATGCAATACCTAAGGGCATATTCTCGTGGGCGTACCCTACAGGAACAGTGATTGAAGGGTACCCTCCAACGCCCAAAAATGGAACATATTTCTGTCCAATGTACATCAAAGCATCAAGCTTCTTCTCTTCCATCGTCTTCTCAAAACCCTTCTTGCAGAAACTTTCAAGCTTCGCTATGGCTTCTTCAACTGTCTCGTCTATACCGTTTGTTTGGTTGGCCATCATAAACATGTCCTGTGGATATTCCTCAATGCTCTCCTACACGTAAGTATACCAAATTAAAAGCAACTTTTAAAAGATCCGTCCCTTTCAAATAGTTAAAGTTGAAGCGAGTTTGTGTGCAGATACCCACCAGTTTTCTGTTATGCGTGTTGAATGATATGAGTTCTGCCATGGATTTTGAAGGTGTGAAGTGAAGCTTTGAGAGATAAGAGTTCATGTCTCGCTTGATCTCAGCTAATAAAGCGATCATTTCGTTCTCATGTATTTCATCGTTGTGCTCAATCACTACATCATCCACCACCGTTGCACCTTTCTCCCTGCAACATATTATCTATCTCATATCTTTAATATAAGAGCTAGATAACTAATTTATAAATATTAAAAAAATTAGTTAAGTTAGTTATTTGTAATACTCTCATTGTCTTTCCTGAAATACTTTTGTTGATTAATCATGTGTATTAAAATTAAATAAAAACCCTTTCACACATGCAATCATTAGGACGACTTTAAAGGAAAAAAAAAAAAAAAGATTTGGGTCTTATATGTCCATACAAGAAATTTTTATTATACATACGTATAATAATTTCCCTATAAAGTAAGACAGAGACAATGAGAGACAACAAAAGTATCAAAATGGTCCACTAATGTCCTATTTTGTGCCATGTTTGGTTTCTCTTCAACATGGTTCGTACATAGCGGGGATGACATAAAGTATAGTTGCTTATGGAGGACTGATGCTTGACAAGGATCTGTGCTACAACTATTTGTGTTTGAATAATGCTTTTTTCTTATTTAAAGGAATATATGTATTAACGGATCCAACCAGCAACCTCCCATTTAATTGAGAGTTTTTATAACATCAGGCTACAAGGTTATAGCTATGTTGAATATACTACTTCCAGTTTTTAATATAAAAATTAGTTAACTAATTTAAATAGATTAAGAAAACTAATTAAATTAGTTATTTGTAATAAATAAGTATTGTATTCTCTAAAATATTCTTACTAATCAAGTGTATTGGTTAGAACTACTATTATTATAAGGACTATCTTGAAGAAAAAAAGAAATAAATATAAAAAACAAAATAGATTAGAATCTCATATTCAGAATCAAAATAAAAGTTAAATGAGTTCTTATATTAAAATTAGGAGGTGGTATAAAACATTGTCAGTCTACGTGATATATATAAAATTTTGAGAAAATATATTATTAAAGGACGTCACCTCAAGGTTTGGAAGACTTGTTGATAAGTCGCGTTCTGAATGGAAGAATCAGGAAAGTTGAAGTAATTGGGGAATCTCAAGATTCCTAATCTCTTCCCTGAGAGTCCCTCTGGATTAAGATACTGAGCATAGCCACCTCTGGGAATGTGTCTTGAAGCTTCAATTGTGCCTTCATCGTTTTCGTCTCTTCCTGCAATTACATCAAGAACATGAACTGCGTCTGCTACTGTCCTCGCTATAGGCCTGTTCCAATAATGAAAAAAAAAGGTTTGATAATTGAGTGCTTTCAATTAATTACATGAATTCTTGTAAAATTCTTTCACTTTTCATGCGAATAATAAGAGGGAAAAAAAATGACATTTTGGAATCTTATCAGAAGACTGTAATATATTTAAGGACATATAGACTTCGGAAATGACTCAGAGTTATATGTTGAAAATAATGATGAAAGGTTCGATATAGAAATCATTTTTTTTCCCAAAAACTAGTTGCCCTGACAAATAACTAGAGACTAATCTTCTCCATGCATAGAGATCACTGAATCATAATTCTTTGGGAGAATTACAATGAGATCCTAAACAAGAAAAACAATTAAAAACAAATCCCAGAAGTTGTTATTTTCACTATAGACTTGTTACTATGGGCTGTTGAGATTATTATTGAGATTTTTTAGCAATTATTTTTCTTCTATGGGACTTAATTATAATTCTCCCTAATTCTTTTTCTTTCTCAATAAAGGTTTTTTTTTTTCATGTACACAGCCTGATTCGAATGCAACAAACATCATTTGAACTTCCTTAACCATTCTTGTCATTATTTTCCCTGCAAAATTTTCCCTAACAATACTATCTCATAATAGTTGGCCTTTTACCCTGTCTAGATTTGTCATGAAAAAATAATTTTACATCATATCAAATAAATATGTGAAAAAAATTTTATCTTATAAAGTGTAAAAACACTACTTTTAATCTGATCCAAACAAAACAAGTATTGAATTTGGATGGATCAATATAGTTAAATTGACTTAGGAAATTGGTCGACTCAAAAATAATTTAAAATATACATACACTAATAATAATTAAAATTATAAAATGATTATAAGGAAAAAAAGCAGCTTTTAATAATTTTCTTTCATATTAATCAATATGTTTTCTGTAATATTTTTTATACGTATCCATATGAAATTATTTTTGATCCAACCATAATAATATAATAATCGATTTGATTGTTAAAAATTTGAAAATATCTTAGAAGATAGTCAAAGGAAATTAAAGGAAGAAATTAATTATATTTGAGAAGTTTAAAACTTTGTGAGATCATCATGGAGAGGTACCCCACAGAGTCTTGTCTCATGGAAATGGGTACGACTCCATCTCTACTGGTAAGATTCACAGTGGGTTTGATTCCCACCACCGAGTTATACGACGACGGACAAATTATGGATCCATCTGTTTCCGTCCCGATCGCCACCGTCGCAAAATTCGCCGCCACCGATATCGCCGATCCACTGCTCGACCCACATACTTCTTTGCTAAGATTATACGGATTCTGCACGCATCTTATTCAACTTGTTAATATATCAAACATAGAATCCAAAATCAATCATTGTAAATAGATTTTTACCTTCGCTTGGCCGCTTCTGGCCGACCAGCCTCCGGGCATGGTCGACGACCGGAAGCCAGACCACTCCTTCAAGCTAGCTTTTCCGAGGATAATGGCGCCGGCTTCTCTCAACTTCTTCACCACAAAGGCGTCTCGAGCCACGACTGAACCAACTAAGGCGAAGGAACCTGCCGTCGTGTTCATGCCATCTTTGGTCGCTATGTTGTCCTTTATCAGCACCGGAACTCCGCTCAGTCTGGTCCCTCTCTTCCCGGCCAGCCGGTCCTTATCAGCTCGGCGAGCCTGAGTCTCAGCGTCGGGGTTCAACTCTGTGACACCGCGCAACGCCGGGTTATACCGTTGGATTTGGTCTCTGTAAGAGTGAACAAGCTGCGTGGAGGAGACATGGCCGCACGTTAGAGCGCGTTGTACATCGTCGACAGTGGCTTCTATGAACTGGAAAGCGTGAGACTGTATAGACGATGAGATCAGTACAGTGATGAGAACGAGTTGCAGCGAGAAGAAATGGTTTGGGGCTGATGAAGAAGAAGAAGAAGTTCTGATGTTTTTCTGTGCCATTGCTTTGGGCAAAGCGTACTGTGGTATTTGCCACTTAAAAAGCATTTAAATAGATTGATCCCAACATAAAAGAAGCATTTAGAGTAGGCCAATGAAGGACACAAATATAAATATTACTCCCTCCGTTCCTTATTATAAGAGACAAATAACCGAAGTACGTTGATCAAAAAACAGTTAAAATTAGTTAAGAACAATTAATGTGTAAAAGTATAATTTTTTTCCAAAAATACCCTCATTAATAAGGAGAGAGAGCATGAGAGAGAACAATTAAATTATTAAAAGAAAGAGAAGTGGGAGGGAGAGAGAGTGTGAGTTGAAGATAATAAATATGGATAAAATAGTAAATCAACACAAAAAAGTAGAGACAACTTGTAAGTGTCTCTTATATATAGGAACATGCCATAAGCATCAAATGTCTCTTATAATAAGGAACGGAGGGAGTACTTTTTATTTTGGGTTCTTTTGAGTTTTGATAATTGGTTTGAGCTTCTAAATCTGTGAGAAAGAAGTGATGAGAATATATAAGAGAAAATTGCGGAAAAATCTTTTATGACAAAATTTATTCTTAAATGTACCTAAGGAGTAAGGACCCATATCTTTTGATTGGGTTGAACTCATCTTCAAGTGTTTGCAATAATTTATCTTTAACTATATATAAATACTCCTGTAGTCCTATTTATAAGTAACTCTTAACAAGTTTCACAGACTAACGAAAACCTTAAATTTCATTAATTTTCATTTAAAATTTAACAACTTTTCAACTTTATCTTTATTTAATATACATTATACTTCATATATACAAATTCAACACAACAATAAATGAAGGGTGAAATTGTACATCAATACAAAAGATTTTTCTCAGTGCCCTATAAATAGAACAAAAAAATGTCTTCCCTCTTTACCCTATAAATAGAGCTAGAGGAGTATCTTTTATTTTGCATATCAATGAATATAGTTTACACACAACTGAAAAAAAAAATTGCAGTTACTAAAGATAAGTTGCGGGTCTTTAAACAAATTTCAAGCACCTTTAGGTAATAATTATTGAACAAGTCACGGAGTTACTATATTTGATCTAATTAATTTACTTGATGCAAGAAAAAATGACAAACAAATATGATTTAGTTTCTTTCAATGTAGTATACGTACACGTTCATCATTGGTGAAGAGTCTGGCGGAAACTATCAAATCTAACCTTTCTTTTTCAACTCTACTTGGTTATTTTTTGACTAGATAGGGACAAAAATAAAATAAATCTAATTTTCAGTATAAGAATGATAATTTAGATCTTAAAATTAAAAACAACTGATCATCAATATAATAATTCACCAACTTGGAATTCTGTGTGTGTATTGTAATGAGTTCGGTGATCTTGGTCGTGGGTGATATAATAATTCAACGTGTACATGAACGTAATTGACGTACCGATATTGGGAATAAAATTAAATAAACTAGATAACGTGGCATAGATTCATAGGATGTTGAAATATTTAAAATATGAATATTAAGAAAATTGATATACAAAGAAAGCATTGCACAAAAACGTTTGGTGAAAGAAGGAGAAATTATCTTCTGTTCTTGGGCCAACCAAGATAGAGAAGATTCATGCATTATTTTGGAATCTTGAAAGGAATCAAGATGTTGGGTGGAGCCCGGTGGAATCGGATGTCCAATGTGGGGGCAAGATTCTTACGTGGGAATAGAAAATTCTGAAAGATTCCGGGTCATGAAAGCACGCGAAAGCTATAAAACAGTGACGTGAGGGAATTATGGGACCCAAATAATTTATAATTAATTAATTACTTAATAATTTAATACTAATAACTTTTTTGGTTACAACAGAAAACAGTAACGTCCCATTAATTGGGAGGAGCCCACTTCACGGGCCACTTCCTTCACGCGGGAGTTTGGCAAACCACTAAAAACACTTAAATTTATGTATACAAAATTTTTTTTTCCACATACTTATTTTTTGTGCTGTAATATAATTTTTTTTAAAATAATTTAAGTATTCCTTAAGTTCTTAACAAGTTAGATACTTTTCATGTCATCATGGCCCTCCTCTCTCTCTCTGGTGAGTTTTCACTTGCCTCAATTTGTTTTATAAAATAACAATAATACTACCTCCGGTCTTAATTATAAGACTCAGTTGACTTATTTGAGGAGATTAAAAAAGTAAGTTAAGTTAGTTATTTGTAATAAATAAGTGTTATCATTCCTAAAATATCCTTGCTAATTAAGTATATTGGCTAGAACTATCATTATTAGAAGGATTATCTTGGAAAAAATGCATAAATATGGGAGAAAAAATGGATTGGGGTCTTATAATTAGGACCAAACAAAAAGTCAAATAGGGTCTTATAATAAGGACCGGAGGTAGTACATTAATTTTTTTTAGAGGAAGTTTTCCCAATAACAATACTACCCTTCAACCTTAAATAAGATTCCAGACTTGAGTTTAACATTAACATGCTTGCGTGCATATATATTTAAACTGTATTAAAAAAAAAAAAGTGAATCATGTGCATTGTAATGCTTGCTTACCAACTTCAGACTTTCTTTCTAGTTTCTGCTTCATTTTTTAAAAAAATTTTTTTAGCATATTAACAAAGATTAGCAATTTGTAAATTGTAATGATGTTTACAATAAATGGCCTATTGGCCCTCCTCTTCTCTATTCTTCTTTCTTCTCTTTCACTTCATTCATGGCTCCCTCCTGAAGCTTCGTCTCTGTTCTCTTCTTCAAAACTCTTTTCTTCCTCTCTCCGCAGATCAATGCTGGAGGGATGGGTACTTCTTCAGCAAATTCCCACATGCCACATCAATAAAAAGCAAACTCAAACTTGTCAACACGTAACTGGTGAACAAGCCAGAGCAAGAGAGCTTGTTTTCTTTGAGATGATTTACAGCCGCAGCTGCCACGAGTCCAGCTACCCCCATCCTTTCTTCCTCTCTCTCTTCCCCCCTCTCTCTATACGTCTTTTCCACCATCTCTCAATAAACAAAGTTCTCCACCTACCCCACCCCTTTCATCCTCTCTCTTCAACATCTTCTCGACATTTCCGTTTTTCTCACTCTCTTCTGCGTCTCAGAATACCTTGCACTCATAAAAACACATCAACCATCCCGGGGAAACAAATGCAATAACAGGCTACAGAAGCTAATGCAGAAACTAATGAATTCATTTTAATGTTATGGATGGCTTGTAGTAAGGAAACTATCCATTAGTACATAATAGCTTAATTATCCTATTTCTATACTAGCTAAAGATGTGCTCATGCTTAAGAAGGAATTGGCAAATTGTGCGTTATATCTTTTATCCTCGCAGATGAAAACGTCAATTACAACATCATAACCTATAGGACAAGTTTACCAGCCATTGTAATATTAGAGAACACTCCAGTGAAGAAAACAGGATTAATGAACAAAAAATACACAGGAGAGCATAGTGAAATTCCGAATTGCTACTTCAGATTATTTGAGGTTGATTACATCATTGGGACCACTCCCAGAATCAGACATCATGAAGTGTCAAAAGAAGTGCTCCAAGTTAAGCTGTCTTCAAGAAGGGCACTTTATCTTTCTGGTATTTTTTTATGGCTTCTATAACTTCTACTGAAAATGTCTCGTCCTCTGGGTAATAAGCAACAGGATCTTGTAGCAGGGGCGATGGTAGATTAAGAACACCCTCAAGTGTTGCATGGAGACAATATGCTGAATATGTGACATGATATCCACCCTCCTGGACGATTAGAAGCCGTCCATCACAGTGCTCCGTTGCAAGAGCCTGTACTATCTGTCCAAGTTCCCTATAGCCCTCCGTTGTTAAGCATTGCCTTCCATTTGGATCAAACTGAAGCACATGCAAACCAAAATCTGACAACGTAAGTAAATCAGGTTTTCATTGACAATAGCAGCAAGGCAAATACATGGATGATCATTTACTTTGACACTTGTACAGATTTATAACAGCACTAGGATTCATGCTTATTTGTGCTGCAAGAAATGCAGACAAAAAGGTAAGAGAGGTCTATAAGGTTTCAAATTCTAAGAGATCATGAACTCAACTTCACACAAACTTGGCAGAGAATTGTTAGTTACAATCAAAATATAATTTAGGAACGCCATTGACCATTTGTCATGATGGCACAAAATCCACTCTCATATCAACCCTCAGGGTGTGTGAATTGTTAAAATTGTCACACAGAAAAATTAGGAACTACAAAGATGAAATGGATCAACTTACAGCACTCGAGTCTTGCCCAATAACCAAGACTATAATATCAGGGTCGAACTTTTGGACTGATGGAACCACCAACTGATTAAAAGCATATACATATCCCTTGTCTCCAGTTCCATTTGGAAGAGGAATGTTTAGGTTATAGCCACAACCTTCTCCTTCACCAATTTCATCGACAGATCCATTCTGAGGATGTGAAGGACCCCATGATCCATGGTTCATATGGAGAGATATGGTAAGAACTTTATTAGACTGATAAAATCCCTCTGCTGTACCATTTCCATAATGAACATCTATGTCTATAACCGCAACTTTTCTACACCCAGAATCTAAAGCTAACTGTATGGCAAGACCAGCATTGTTAAGGAAGCAGTAACCATCAGCTTGAGTAGGCTGAGCATGATGACCTGGGGGCCTAACCAATGCATAAGCTATTTTTCCATGGCCATCAAGTATATGCTTCATTGCAGACATTGTGGTACCGGCAGCAAGAAGTGCAGCATCCCATGATCCAGGGTTTAAGAATGTTCCAGAACATAGTATCTTTCCACCATCTTTGTCTGCTTGTACCAATTCATTTATGTATTCTAGCAGAAGAACACATTTGATATTTAAATCAGACAGACTAACACCAATCTCATTCACATTATTTCTAACAAAGTAACACACACAGATTGAGAGAGAGAATATACACCATTTGCTGTTTCTCCAAAGCCCAAGGTCCCGTTTGCTTTAACTCCTTTCCTTGTGACTCCCGGGAATATCATTCCTCATAATAATCATCATATATTCCAATATAAACATATTTTTTACGATTATATTCCAATATATTGTTTGGTTGACCATAACCATGAGAATAGTCTCTCCCATGGTAATTATCACTCCTTAAAAATTGGGAATCTAAATTCATGACCTTATACATGTCAATCCTTATTCCCACCCCTCTATTACTGCATTGCCCTCCTCTTACAAAATTCCATCGATAGCCACTGTCATTTTAGTTTATTTATTCCCTATCACCCTATTCCATTCTATTCTTTTCCTTTCCAATTCAGTTATAAGATTAACAGTTTAAGTACCATTTTCAAGATTGTGTCCGTCAACTTGGCTACATAGCTGCTATTATCAAACCTTCAATTCCCATGTTGCTTGGATTTGATGATATTGATTACTTCCATGACAAAAGAGGAATGTGATAAGTGGATGATGGAATACAAAAACTATAGCATCCCACTAGAATGCTAATCTGTAACAAAGCACAAAACACACAAAAATAAAGGGGGTTAAACTCACATGACATTTCCCTGATGCTAAATTTGACTTCACTTGACTAAAATAGAGTCTAATTCATGTTGTTATAAACTATTAGGTAAATTTAGATTCTCTCCCCACAGTGAATACTAGTGTCGTCAAAGTTACGTCACGAAATAATGTAGGAATTGAACTAGGAACAGGTGGATGGAAGAAAGAAACGACGGTTATTACGGAGAAAGAAATAGGAAAAGTACCAGGAGTGTGAAAGGAAAGAAGTTGAGGGAGACGAGCGGGAGAGCCAAGGTGCCAAGAAATGAAAGGAGAGATAGGGCCCCTCTTGAGGATGGAAACCATATTTCGGATCCTGTCGGAGTTTTCTGGATGCTTCTCCAACACCTCCAAGAAGCCAGGATCCATTCCACTGTCAAATACGCCATTCCCGGTGTCATGCTTCAGCATTCCCTCGTGCCAGAACACATCAATTCGATTCCTTGATTCAGCCATAGAACGCACAAACAGCAATTTTTCTTTTTTGCCCCCTAGTGTCGAGACACGAGAGTAATGAAATGGAGAGTAGTAGCCTAGGAGTAGATCACGAAAGCAATGAAATGGGTTTTTTTTTTTTTGGAAATTTACAATAAGATCCCAGAGAGTTAAATAAATTTTTTTTTTAAATTATCAAATTATTTTAAAGTTCTAAAAAATCTTGTTATAATAAATTTTATTTGTTTAATTCTCAAGTTTTTTTTTTTATAGTTTACATTGAGAACTGAAAAAGCAAACAACTTAAAGTGTAAGGATTGACATCTATTATAACAAGTATTAGCAACATATTTTCTCAATATATTAGAAAATGTATTGTATAAGTTGTCAATACCTACCGCGATAGTTGTCAATTCTTACATTTTAAGTTGTCTATGACTGCTCTTGCAGTTGTCAATACAAACTTTTAAAAAAAAAATAATTTGGTAACTAAACAAATAAAATTTATTGCAATGAGGTCTTTTAGGACTTTAAAAAAATTTGATGATTTTAAGAGACCTTCTTATATTTAATTTTCTTGAATGGGATCTCATTGTAATTTTTTTCCCCTTTTTGGTACAACGGTGAAATGGATTTTTTTCCTCCTAAAAACATAAGTATCCTCCTTGAAAGTAATCATATTTGAGATATTACCAAACACTAAATATAAACAACTCTTCTAATAAGGATTCAAAACTCGGTTCTCCATTCTCCCAGACCCAACCCATGAAATGTATTTGAGTATTTGTAAAATTTTGATTTTTCATGTTATGGGAAATTAGCCTTTTCCGTCAAATCCAACCTTTCTAACATTTGCAATTTTACCTTTGAAATCCGGACCAAAAGTACACGGAGAAACCCGACGCTTTTGATTATTTTATCGGGCTTCTTACCCCCATTTGTACAAAAGAACGGAGAACTTTATCAGGGTCCAACATATTATCAAAAAGGGCCCAAAATTTGTTTAAAATGCAGGCTCAAAGCTTTTATGTACGAAAGGCATTTTTTGGGCAGTGAGCTCCATGAAGACAGAAAAACAGAGCAAAGTGGGCAACAAAAATTGCTTTGGTTGCTAAAAAGAAATAACTCATAAACTATAAGTTTGTGAGTTTAAATGCGGCCGTTGATATGAGAGCTTGATTAGTAAACAATTTGTAAATACTTTTATAAATAATCTTTGAGCTTGAAGACATGTCAAATCTTGATTTCTTTTTCCAGTTTCAATGAAACAAAATTGTCACATTGAAAAAAAAAAGAAGCCACCATCAAAGAGATCAACATCCAACACGGCAAAAAAAGGAAGATGGAATGCTCTCTCTCTCTCTCGACCAAACTCCAGGAAAAAGAGACGAACCCCCACCACACCCGGATGATAATCGAAACACCAAGAAGGTCAAAATACGGGATCTTCGTGCCGGTGATGATGCCGACATGCTCTCTTATGACCCCATCTCCTCCTCAGAGGATGAAATGTCCGCTAATGAAGAGAACACCAAAGAACCCAAAGAGGATGCGGAAATGACTGGGAGCCCGCCATCCTTCAGAGATATGTTAATGAACCACACTGCAAAGAGACAGGAGGAAGACGAAGAATTCACCTTTGAAGATGGTGATATCATGATCAGACGCCATGATCCTATATCGTCCATCGTCTTCTCTAAAAGGATTCACCGCATACTCAACGAAAGTATGAGATTTGTGATGGTTGTCAAAATGCCGGGTAGAAACATAAGATACAGAGATCTACGAGACAAGGTCGTGAGCATGTGGAAACTTTCAGGCTCAGCACAACTTTCGGACCTTGAGGGCAACTGTTTCATCACCAAGCTCAGCAATGAAAGGGATTATAACGAGGTTCTCCTGGGCGGGCCCTGGATGATCCTTGGGCACTATCTCACAGTGTAACCATGGACACCTGGCTTCTCTCCACTGACGCATACAGCTTCACAGGTCATAGGATGGATTAGAATCCCGGGTCTCCCTACAAAGTACTATAAGAAGGGTGTAATCCGAGCCATTGGAGAGGTCCTTGGCAGCGTGATTCGCATTGACTACAATACAGCATCTGGGGAACGAGACAAGTTCGCTAGGATAGCGATTCTCATCGATCTCTCCTAGCCACTCGTCTCCAAGATTGAGGTAGATAATCAAACCCTCCATGTGGAATATGAAGGCTTACCTACAATATGCTTCTGCTGCGGACATTATGGCCACCTCGAAGCCACTTGCCCTCAAAAACATGACCCTAACGAGATGGCTGCAACCCATGCTCCGGCAACCCTGCCTGAGCAACCCTCGGCGACACAAGCTAGCACACATCCTTAGAGGAAAACTGAACTGTACGGTTCCTAGATGCAGGTACCAGCGAGTGGGCGTAGGCGTGAAAAAGGTGACTGAAAACTGTCAGAGAGTAGCCTCCCTAAAGGTAATAGCTACGGTAGCAGGTTTGACATCCTTGCCACTGAAGATATCCCCTCCACATCAACTGCAGCAACTGACCATTCCCATACAGTGCAAGTCATTTCCTCTGAACAGACCCAAAAGGCAAAAGCAAGTGCACAAGTTTCCACTTTGATGAAACCTTGTAACAGTAAAAGCAAACCAAACTCCTAATGTAATGAGCATTTCAAGAACCCCCAGCTTCAAACTACCAAACCAGTGACTAACCTAGACTCCCTCTTTGAAAGCCATGCCTTTAAAGCCGAGTCACGCATTCTGGACCCTACCCTTCACACTGCCGTTTCAATCTCCTCCCCTGGCCAACCCCGCATAGCTCTCCAACCACTTTACAACTCTCGGCCCGCCCCTAACCAAGCCCAACCCTATGACACAGGAAAAGAAAATAATATACCCAAGCCACCAGACCCAAACACTAGGCCAAATCACCAAAAAGGCATCACCCTTAGAAAACCCAAAGCTAGACCCAAAGAACCAAGCCCTTCCCTATCTGAGGAAACCTTAAAGGCCATCGCTGAATCTCTGAATCTCCCTGCTTTGCCTAACATTGATGAAGCAGAAGAGAACATTGTTGACGATGAAGAAGGGGATGGACAACCGGATATGGAGGGCTAAGACTCCGTCAACCCTCTTGTTTATTCTATTTATGTCAGCTTTTGTTTGGAACTACCAGGGCGCTGCAGCCAACAAATTCCACGCAGTGCTCAAATCTTTTCTGATGGATTACAAACCTGATCTAGTAGTCCTAGTGGAACCCAGAATCTCTAGTCTCAAGGCAGATAGAGTAATAAAGAAAATTGGCATGTATCACTCTCACAGAGTGGAAGCAAATGGATTTTTAGGAGGCATTTGGGTTCTTTGGTCTAGTTTGACAGAGATCGAAGTACTCAAAAACCATCAACAATTCATCCACTACCGTGTCAATTTGATTAACCAGAGAAAAAACTTTCTCTTTACAGCAATTTATGCTAGCCCAAACCCCTAATGGAGAGTTAATCTATGGAGTGACCTCTCCAATATTGCATCCGACTCCAATGAACCTTGGTTACTTGCTGGCGATTTCAACGCCACTTTAAGCTTAGATGAACGAAAAGGAGGCGCCAGTGAACGAAGTTGAGGATGCTGCCTCTTCCATTCCTTCATTCAGTCTAATGAGCTCATTGACTTGGGCTATGCAGGCCCATTCTACACTTGGAGACGTGGGCTCACTTTAGCTCGATTGGATAGAGCACTCTCCAACACCCACTGGATACACCATTTTTCCAACTCCACAGTTCAACACCTACCGCAAATCAATTCAGATCACAGGCCCCTCTAGATTAATTTTGGTTCCCCCATATCTGCAAACAAAAAGCCTAAAGATTTCAAATTCCTCATTGCTTGGGAAACCCACCATACCTTCCCCAAATTAGTTCAGGATAACTGGGACTCTAGGCTTACCCTCTCGGAGAATATCTCCAACTTCTCCTTAGCTGCATCCCACTGGAACCAAGAAGTCTTCGGTCAGATTGGAAGGAAGAAGAGATGACTCAGAGCCCGTATCTCTGGGGTTCAAAAGGGCTTGGCAAACCAAACTTCATCCTCCTGCCTCCTAGAGCTAGATCATTCCCTACGCATAGACTATGAGTATGTGTGCCTACAAGAGGAGCTCCTTTGGCTCCAAAAATCCAGAAGTGAATGGATAACTCTGGGGGACCGTAACACCGCCTTCTACCACACTAAGGCGCGTATTCGAAATCGCAAAAATAGAATCACCTGCCTCCAAAAGGATGATGGAACATGGGAATCAAATGAACAAAATCTGCTCCTTATGGCAAAGCAGTTTTTCCATTCCTTATACTCAACCAATGCGGAGTCGCATAGGGCCTACCACCAAGGTATGTTTCCCGTCCTCCCTGACTCTTCTTGGTTGACCTTATCTGACTCTATGACAACAGAGGAAATAAATAGAGCCCTTTTCGATATGAAACCTCTAAAGGCACCGGGAGTAGATGGTATTCATGCTCTTTTCTATCAGCTTCACTGGGATGTGGTAGGCGCTTCCTTATGCAGAATGGTTAAACAAGTCTTTGAGGGTGGAACCATAGACCCTGTGCATAACAGAACTCTCATCACTCTGATCCCCAAGGCTGATAGACCATGCAAACTCAAGGATTTCAAACCCATTAGTCTCTGCACAGTTGTCTACAAGATAATCACAAAAATCGTAGCAAACCATCTCAAGCCCCTCATGCCAGAACTTATTCTTCCCTACCAGTCTAGCTTTATTCAAGGAAGAAACATTACTGACAACATTATTATTGCACAAGAAGTCATACATTCCATGAGACGCAAAATTAGAAAAAAAGGATGGATGGCCATCAAGGTAGATCTAGAAAAAGCCTTTGACAAGATTAAATGGGAATTCATTGAAGAAACACTTAGAGACGCAAGAATTCCAGCAAATATAACTAGGATCATTATGCATTGCATCTCATCTCCCACAATGCAAATCCTCTGGAATGGCTCCCCATCATAATCATTCCACCCCTCTCGAGGAATCCGTCAAGGGGACCCTTTGTCCCCCTACATCTTTGTGCTTTGCATGGAACGGTTGTCTCAGCTAATCAGAACAAAGGTTACCACCGATAAATGGGAGACCATTAAGATGGGAAAAGAGGGGCCTCCTCTTTCCCATCTATTCTTTGCAGACGACCTCATTCTTTTTAGTTCCACATCTCCTAGCCAAGTTGATCTAATAAAAAAGGTGCTAAATGATTTCTGTGTTGCATCAGGTCACTCCATTAGTCAAGCTAAAACCCGCATTTTCTTCTCCAAGAACGTGCAAAAGAGAGACTCTGACCGTATTTGTGCTCACTTGGGTTATAACAAAACAGATGAACTTGGCAGATACCTGGGCGTCCCGCTTCTCCACTCAAGAGTTACTAAAGACACCTATGCATGTATCATTGAGAAAACTCAACAAAAGCTCTCTGCTTGGAAAGGTTATACACTCTCCCTTGCAGGAAGGATTACACTTGCCAAGTCAATTCTCTCAGCCATACCTTATTATGCCATGCAAACCTCGTCGCTTCTAGCTTCCTGCTGCAATCAAATTGAGAAAATAATTAGAGACTTCATTTGGGGATCGGACACCACACGTAGAAGCACCCACTTAGTGTGTTGGGATGATTTATGCCAGCCTACACAGAACGGAGGATGTGGTTTGAAAAAATTGCAAAGCCAGAGCAGTGCCTTTCTTGCCAAACTCGGTTTTTACCTAGCCAGCAAGCCAAACTCCTATGGGTACAGATTCTTAGAGCGAAATATAACAGGTCACCGGTAAGGAGCTCTGTTTTCAAAACGCAGGATTGCTCGCATACCTGGAGAAGCATTTCAAAGGCTTGGCCTACCACCTCTTTGGGGATCAAATGGCAAGTCAGGAATGGTGAAAATGTGAGATTCTGGTCTGACAATTGGATAGGAGAACTGGGGCCGCTAAAGCATCTAGCTTTTTGCGAGACAAGTCATCAAGCTTTAGCACAACCCATTCGAGATTTTATTGATCAGGACGAGAATTGGAAATGGGACATGTTCTAAGACCAATTGCCTATGTCCATCAATCTCCAAATAGCTGCTATGTTGCCACCCTCCCCCATGGGGGGGACCGACACCTGCGCTTGGAACCTGACAGCAAATGGAGCCTTTTCAGTCTCCTCGGCCTACAAGATAAGTAAAGAAGACTCCTGGGCAGATAAAGCATATTGTTGGAAGCTTATCTGGCAATGGCAAGGTGCACAACGAGTTCGATCCTTCCTCTGGCTAGCCTTCAAGGATAGGCTTCTCACCAATGTTGAACGTTTGCACAGACATATGACTGTTGAGGCAACGTGCGAACTCTGCAATAGAGCGGATGAAACTACTGACCATATATTCTGCCAATGCCCTCTAGCTATAGCTTGCTAGAAATTAATCCTGCCTCAACACAAGCTCTCGAGCTTCATTAACACACCGCTAAAGGATTGGTGGCTGAAGAACTTGGACCCAAAGCATACTAGCTCAAGGTGGTCCCTCCTCTTCGGCATAATCACTTGGAAAATTTGGGACGCTCGAAACCGAAGACTCTTTGCAGGGGACTCATTCACAGCTCAATCAATTATCATAGGCGCCGCTGCCATAGCTGATCAGACTTCTAAGACCCGACGACTACTTGGACCGATTCAACACCTTTCCTTAGGATGTTGAAGTTGTTATTTTTTTGTCATTCCCTGTTTTACTTGCTGCTTTCTTGTGTAATCTTCGGTTTGATGTACTGTTCTTTTTCTAGTTAATAAAATTTCCCTTTCACCCAAAAAAATTGTCACATTGACAGCAAGATTTGGACTTACAATCTCATAGATTTTGAGTTGACTCCTTACTAATTGAACAAACTCCTATTGGTTGCATTACTTATTAATCATACTACAAAAAGATGTGCCATAATATGTGTCCAAAAGGTGATCAAACTTAATGCCCAACTAGATATCCTTCAATATAACAAGACGGAACACCACAACAAAAGTTAATCATTTGATTTATAAAAAGTTAAATTAATTATTTATTATATAAAAAAAAATGCGTCCATTTCCTAACATACCCTTTTTTTGCCATCTATTTCCTAATATGCCCGCGATGCAAACTAGCCTATATGTAAATTCCTGTATCATACATATAATCAATTAGAATATTCTTGAGAAAATTACACATTTAGAAGAAAAAATTAATTAAGATCTTATATTTAAGATAAAAAAATTCCTCAATTACTTGATCCATTAAATTCCTCAATTACTTGATCCATTTAGGATTGTAGCAAAGTAATTTTATTACCGTTATATATATTAGTTTTATCCATATATATTCAGATCTTTGAAATAAACCAAAAAAAAAAAAAGAGAGAGAGAGGGAGTATACTAAAAAAGAGAAAAAGAAAAGAAAGGAAGTGAAGAGGGTATCAAAAGAAATAAACTAGGAGATAAATCTTGTCTAAACATGACATGATTCTGACGATGAATGCAATGAAAGAAATATTCCAAAATGGAATTAATATTAAATTTTCTTGGGCGTTTCCCTTTCATTTTCTGGGTAGAAATTTTAGAGACGGAATGATGAGTAGGCCACTTCTGTTGGTGCCTTTCCTTTTCAATCTTATCTCTTCTTTTTTAATATCTGAAAAACGTATCAAACCGGAACCCAAAACTTTAGAGGCTGTTTGTTTTTGTTGTTTTGTTTTCTTATTCTCAAAATAATTTTATAAAATTTTTTTAAGAACAATTTTTGGAAACAAAAAACAGAAAACTTTGTTTAGAAAATAATTTTTAAAAAAATCACATTTGAAAAAAAATATAAAAAAAATTACATTTTGACAAGTGGTAGTTATCACTTGTAATGATAAGTAGTAGATAGTAGAGAAGAAGAGAAGAAAATTTCTCTAATTTTTCAAAACAAAAAAATAAAAAACACAAACAAAATAAGAAAACATGTAAAAGTTGTTTTGGTTTTTCAGTTTTTAAAAACATTTTTTTTTGTTTTTTAAGACAATCAACAAGAAACAAATTGTCAAACAAGTCTTTTTGTTTTTCTGTTTTTAAAAACAAAAAATTGTTTTCAAAACAAGAAACCAAACAAGTTTTTAGTTTTTTAAAATTAAACGCAACCACTTTCAGAGTGGAAGCAATCCGTCTTTTTCTTTTTTCTTTTTTAATTTTAAATTTCAAACAAATAACTGTTTTGAAAAGTGATGTGAATATTCTGTCTCACCAGCTTTTTCGGTAATACTATTATTCTAAGTGAACATCCTCCACTTCATAATAAATCGTTTGGTTAAAATGCAAATTTACTCTCAAAATTTAAAAATATTGAGTTAATATTTCTACAATTTACATTATAAACTAACTCCTATATTTAAAACCAGAACTAATAATACTATTATTATTACTTAACACCGCCATATCATTTTTCATTATTTTTTGAAAAAATTATATACGAAATACTATTATTTTGCATATCAAATATTCATGCAGATTACTGTCCAATTTCATGAATTTTATTTTTCTAAATTAAAAAAAATGCTTCCAGTGATTTCTGAGAATAAAATAATTGGGGCATTTCACCTAATAGGGAATATTCACGGAGTACATGCATAATATACACATGGCCACCACCACAAAGGCACTTCGCCTCTGAGTGGTCTCGTTGATTGAGGAATTTCACTGCTCATCACATTCCTTCCAACTCAAAACTCCATTAATGGATCAACCCTTTTCTTTTTTCAATTAATCAAAGCTCATTCCCACCATAACCGCCTCCTCAAAGCCATCAACGATTCCTGTGACTCCAACCAAGTTGATGATTCATGACTAGGTGGCACCCCCTGCAGCCTCCTCCTCGGACTATGCCCTCAAATTCCGGCGACGTCCTCGTGGCGTGGTGGCCGAGGCTTCCTTGTGAGTTTCTAACAGCTCAAGACGTTCCTTAATTGTTCTATCAAACAGTCTGTTTTCTGGGTTCTCTGCATAGCATGCATAGTAACAACTCACACAAGCATGAGGCACTGCCATGGCGATCCTTGTCTGCAGGGTCAATATTTTTTCCAGATTATCTCAATTAACAACATCAGATTAATAAATTAATGACATATTCTGAAACCAGATCTGAGCTGTAACAAAGATCAGCAATTCAAGCATATCAATTGTGGGCCCCATAGAAAAATGTACAACTGATATGCATATTGGTCTCTCCATGATTAGCTCGTTTTTATTAATCTTCAGCATCAAACATGTAATCCCAAGAGATATTTTTTTATAAACATATGAGATTCGATCACATGTTAATTACTCATTATAAAGTAAAGTGCATACCAAAGTGGTAGGTATTTATAGTACTTTTTTAGTACATCTATCTATCTGATATCCAGCATTATCATGTCAGATTCGATCATTGTTGGACCCAACTGGAAATAGTTCTCCCAATGCACTTTTTCATCCACAAGATTAAAATCCCCAACCTTGTTTAAGAAGAGTCAAATTTCTTCCACCCAACCCGCCGACAGGTGGTAATACGCTCATTTTTCTCTACAGACTTATTCCACCTACCCATCTTTCAAAAAACAGGACCTACTTGAGAATTTTTCTGATTTAAAAAATAAAAGTTGATCACGTGCAAGTTAAGAATAACAAATTAAAGAAAAGGGTGTTCTGTGTATGTATATGTACAAAATAAGGGGGTCAAATAAGGGGTACTAACCAAAAGGTATCCAATGAAGAAAGTGAGGAGGGAAAGCCTAGCTGTGAAACTTTGGTGAACTTTGGCAGTCCAAGCAGCCACAACAATGACACAGATAGAACCACTACAAACTCCTGTGAGGAAGCAGATTGAGCTTGTTATATCAGAATCCACGAGTTGTTCTATTTTTTCTTTCTGAAACAGGGCCCACGTGTCTTGAGATGCCTGCACAAATCCTTTCCCATAGGCTGCTATCTGCAAGATATCAATTAAGACATTAATCCAGATCAGTAATCCACGCAAGTAATTGTTGATTGGGTTTAAAATCAGAATTAGACGTGTTAAATACTTTTACAGAATACTGGTAAGGACCACAATAATGATCTTTAGCTTTCAGATAGTGACGGCTCTCTAATGCCAACAAAGCTTGACAGGTCAAGCGGGACCAGAGAACAAGCAGCCAATACAATTTTAAAAAAAGTTTATGCAGATAAGTTTAAGCAAAAAATCAAGATCATGTGCATAGTTAATGGCTTTTCGTTGCTAAAACTTCTTAACAAGTAATCTAAAGGTAATTTAGCAATACTCAACTTTAGGATTACTTGATATACTCAAAGGGGTTAGCCCAATTTGTTGGTAAGGCTATTTTATTTTTCATTTATTCCCCAGGGTTCAAAAATTTTTTTTTTTTTAAAAAAAAGAAACCCTCTGGGAATAAAGTATGCATCCGGCCGATGGTGAGTTTTATAGATTGCCAAGGGCAGGGATTCAGTTGTGTCATGTTACCTGTACATAGGCCCAGCTATTACCGTTTCTGAAAATGGACTCCATCACTCTCAGACAACAATGAGCACAACAGAACATGAACTCATCCTCTCCTTCGAGCAAATTTAAACCCCGGGCGACTATTCTTAGAGCTTCAATTGTCGGAACAAAGAGAGACCCTAAACAAGCACTTCCAAGATTCCTGGTTGATGCTCTGAGAAAGCAAAACTTAGTATTTGATTGCATCCCTCTAAGATAATACAAAGCAATGACCCTACTAACAGTGATGTTAACAACATTCCTCATGACCTCTGTAGTCCAAGCCAAGCTCAGCATCAACGCCATTATAATCAAAGGAGGAACATAAAAGTTCAAGGCTCCAATCACAGCTACAGTCCACAGAGTCATCCAGAGGAATGAAGCACTAAGCATACAGTAAGTGGGATAATTCAAATCTGGGAATTTTGATGCTGGCTCAAGTGACAGGCTCAAGATCTTACAACAAAACTTAATTCTGTTATTAACCCAACAGGCATACAAGCCGTTTCCCACTGAAAAAGCGATCAAACAAACTCCAACACCATTAGTGGAAGGCCTCTGAAAGCAAAGAAGAAGGACTCCAGCTGCAAGAGACATTACAAAAGTGCACCATAGTATGAAATGAACCATGAAAGTGGGCCATTTCCTTATTGCTTTCTGCCACATAAATGCCAGAGTGATGCTAATAAGGCATGCAGCTTCCACTTGTGGCAGAAAGAACTTCAAAACCCTTCTCTCTCTCCTTTTGATAGAATCCGATGCCTGGAATAGCCCTTGGATTCCCTTGAAAACAAGAAAGCAAACCAGAACAACAGCCAGGAAAAAGTGGAGGAGGAAGAGAAACAGGGATATTCTGTTGGTATATCTTCTCGAACTCAATGTCACGGGTCGCTGTAGAAAATCAAATTAGAAGGAAAAAAATTAGATAAAGGAAGCAGAATCCTCATAAAGGTAAGATTAGCCCTCCAAGAATCTACCAATAAATTCACATAAATGAACGAGATTTTTGAGAAAGATTCAAAAATATCAGGTCGTCTTCAATGGGGAAAAATACGTCAAATTGAGAAAAAGTAATTCTCTTAAAATATAAAAAGAAAAGCTTACTTGTGGTTGCAGGATTGGTACAGAGCGAGGCTCAGAAGGCTGAGATTCAGGAGGGGGAGAAGGAGAAGGAGAAGGAGAAGGAGGAGGAGGCGGATGAGGATGAGGACGAGGATGAGAAGGAGGAGGAGGAGGAGGAGGTGAAGGAGATGCAACTCTGGTATTGCTGTTAAGTACAATCCTCAACGGATTTGTGGGGTTCAATCTATGGTACATCGAGTGCTGAAAATCTTCATGAGTATGGCGATTTTCGGCATTATCATAATTGGTCTGAAAAGCTCTCTCTTCAAAACCCACTTCACCTTTTTCCAAATCCTTAGCTTCATCTTCTTCCTTTTCCTCCTTCTTGTTTACATTTCCTTCTCTCACTTCAGCTTTTGCTTCATTTCCTCCCTCAACGACCTACCACCACGCACGACCAACGAAAAGAGAAAAAGAATTAAGACTTTACAAAAACAGCAAAATCAAGCTAAGAAAATACAGAAGGCAATCAAAACATGCAAAGTATAATATTTAGCTTACCGGTTCTTCAGCACCCATTTAGAAGTTAAGGAGTTGTTCGGTGGCTGTGACGGAGGTGAGTGGGTGACGGCGGCAGGCAGCGGAGACGGTGTCGCTGACGGTCTCTGGAATGTTTTAGTTGTCTTTACGAGGTGTGGATTCTGTGGTGGATGACGTTATTTGTTTTGCCCGTTATTTTCACTCGGCGTTTTCACACTATGCCCCATAGTATCAGAATACGTGGGACCCACACTTCCTTTAGGAGCCTCCCAAACACGTCAGAGTAAATTATTTATCTTTATTCCATGAATTTCAGCTGAATTACATTTTATGTCATTTTAAATTTTCAAATTTAATATTTACATTAATGTTAATATTCAAGTTATTGTTTCCAATTTTTTTTTAACAAATATTGTTTCCAAATTATTTGTTAGAAAATTTGAATAAACAAGTCTTTTTTTTCCTTTTGCTGACCAACAAGTCTATGCATTCATAGTGAAGTACTTAAGTTATATGTTTTCCTTTTATAATAAAATTATGCAAAGTATTATTAATTATATTCATTTTAGTATCATTTATTTTGATTTGAGTTTTACATTTATAAAACTGATTATCTTTTGAATTACTTAATTAAACATACATTATTTATTTAAATAAATAATTAAGTAGCAAATATAAAGATGCTAGTGAAAATGAATGTGATTGTAACCTATCCTTTATTGGTTTTTTTGTAACATATCTTCTGTATTTTTATGGGTATCTCTAAAAGAAAAATAAAAATAATGAATCTATAATTTTATTATACCTCTATAAAAAAATAAACTTATATAAAAAAAATTTATTAGTTAAAAATGAATTAGATAAAAGAAATTTTATTGTTAAAATCAAAAAAAGGTGGAAAGTTTATCTGTGTTCGGTACGTAGTATTTTCTAGGCATTCTACGTAGGAGACAGAGGGTGTGATGATGAAATCAACGGCTGCGATTGGTTAATATGCTGATGACAGAGAAGAATGATTAGATTCCCTAAGAAATGGATAGACGCAAAAACTATTGAATGGGCCCCACCTGGCTATCACTTTAATTTTCTGATTTATCATTTTGTTATTAAGTATTATCTTTCAAACATTTAAGTATTATTTGACTTTTCTAAGAAGATATTAATCGAGAAATAGTAATTTATTTGACTTAATTCTTCTTATGTGCAAGATGAGCTTCTAGAAATTGGTGGGTTAGGAGCTTAACAAGTGAAAATAAATTTGTAACCTGGAGAAGCACCTCTGATTTATTTTTACGTACAAATTATAATTATAATTGAGTTAAAATTATATTAAATATTTAATTTTTTTAAAAAAAATTAAGTATTTTTATATATGCATTCATCTTCTACATATTATGAAAGATGTTGGTACAAGCTTTGTATTTTTTGGTTACACATCTCCCATTTTTTAACTAATGATTAGATTTCTAAATTTTGTTTGTAATTTGACTATTGTCAAAATGAAACTATTTAATTCATTTAATTATTTTTTTTTGAGTTTAAGTCTTTTCTAAATCACTGAAAATTTAAATGAGTTGAGTTCCTTGAATCATCAATGTAAAATCGCAAAAATATTTATAAATTACCTATTGACTAATTATTCACAATAATAGTATGATTTAAACCCCTATTTTTTTATTAGATACGGCCTAACTCTTTATCACTTGAAACACAACTTGCACTTATATAAATAAATAAATAAATATATTGTCAAAAAATACGTGTAATCTATTAATTTGTGAAAAAGTAAGGTCCAAATTATTGTTCATACACGTGGGTCGTACAAAACAATTATTATTGGGGGCCAGACACTTGGCTCAACTGAAAATGTGCACACAGGGGCCGACATTATTATTATTATTATTATTATTATTATTATTATTATTTAAGTCGAATTTTTTCATGAATAATAGATTCAAGAACTTGCATTTTCTTGTCCCTTGACTCTTGCCCGCTGTTCCTGTCATCTAACGTTTTAGTTTTAAATCAGCTTTAAAAAAAGCCACTTTCTGTAGAATCCAAGTTTTTGCTTGACTTTTTCTGGGAAAATCTAAGTTTTAAATGAGAAAGACCGCGCAGACCCCACGTGTCATATCCGATTACGTGCATCCTACTCATTCTTTATATCTATCTTGGAGTGTTTGGCAATATGAAACCATAGTTTTGAGACCAAACTATGATTTGGGTCTCAAATTTGTCAAACATGGAGGAAAATTAATAAACCGCGGTTTCAGGCCAAAACCATGATTTTGGACTCAAAACCAAGATTTCAGAAAAAGTGAATCCATTCTGTTTCTGGCTTAAATTAGAGAGTATAATTGTGCCTGTCAGAATAGATCTCAACAATAATATGACTTTAACACTCCTAAATTATTTTGTTATAAATATATTTAATCTTATATTTTATAAATATATACACATATTAATTATTTATTAATTATATTCTTTTATGTATTATTAATTATGTTGGTAAAAAATATATTATTAACAATTTTATTCCTTCAAATTAAAATATATCATAAAATTTATCTTTTATGTAATTATCATATTAACTTATGTCTTTTTTAGTAATTTGTATATATAAAAAGTGTTTCTGATAACAATTATCCAAACACTCTTATTTCTTAAAATCACTTTTTCACAAAATCTATTTTCCATAAAATCTATTCTCCAAAAATTATTCTCCAAACCATGATTTGGTTTCATCCAAACACCCCCTTAATTCTCACCTCAACTTTCAACTTTTAAAAAAAAATTGTTGTTTAAAATATAAGATGTTGTCAATATAATTAATATAATTTTTTCATTTTTATTTTTATTATATATAAAAAAGATGAGAAATAATAAAAATATAATATTGGAGATAATTTTATCATTTTTTAGGAGTAAAATAAAAAAAACCCTATCATTTTAAGATAAATTTAATAACTAAGTTTTTATTTTTTTGGGAATGTAAGAAAAGTTAAGGAACTTGTTATAGTATAGACGCGACGGAGTATAACACATACGTCCTCCATCTACATGCGTATTTTCTTTTAAATTTTCTAATACCTTCGATTCTAATTATAATAGCTAGTTGACTAATTTAAAAAGATTAAGGAAAGAAGTTAAGTTAGTTATTTATAAAAAAATAGGTATTGTCTTTCCTAAAATATTCTTACTAATCAAATATATTGGTTAGAACTAACATTATTGATGGATTACTTCAGAAAAAAATGTATAAATATAAGAGACAAAGTGGATTTGGGTTTTATATTTAGGATCAAGATAAAAGTTAAATAAGATCTTATATTAAGAACATGAGGTAGTATTCATTTTCATTCTATGTCTATTTTATCTAACAAATTTATGATTCTTTTCCTGAAATTAATTGCTCATTTTGAACATAAATTACTAAAAAAGTGTTTTAGAGAAACTAATATAAATTTATTATAAATAATTAACTTTGTATATTAAGAACATGAGTTATATCTAACTCCTACATTTAATATTAAATGAAGTATATTATATTATAATTCACTTCACTAAAGATATTTCCTTTTATTTTTACAATATAAAAGTATATAACTTAGCGGTAAAATCTTTTATGCAGTATTTGCCCATGTGAAAAATGAACTAATTACGTGGAAGCTAAGGAATTTTTTAAGGAAATTGTGTTTGTTTGGTTGGATTGTCACGCTCCCATTCCCTCTTGATTTTGTTTTGTTTTGTTTTGTTTCCATATGTTAGGATAGTCCCCAGTTTTGCTGCTTACAATTATTACTTTTCTAATTTAGGGCGTGTTTTGCTTACAGTTTCAGATGCTGTTCATTAATTTCAATGTGCTGTTTGTGAAATGGAGAAAATATGTGTTTGGTTTTTAAAAGTACTCTTTTAATCATTTGAATTGGAAACCATCTTTTATAGAAATTCCTTAACAAGTAAAATTAATAAGAATATTTTCAAGAACAAACTATAAATTTGAGAATCAAAATATTGAAATTTTGCATTTATGATCAAGAAGGTGTTTGAATTAGTTTTTTGAAAGCGATTTTAGGATATTCAGCTAAGTAATGTGAGAAGAGTTTTGTACTAACTTGCATGAAAATATTTTTTTTTTCCAAGTACTTCTAAGGTTACAAACTTTCCCAAGCAAATTTCTTCACTACCTCCTATACTTAGGAGAAGTCGAATAACAAAGTTCAACTACGTACATGTGCCTGCATCTGTATATATGTATTAATTCCAATTCTTAATATAAAAGTTAGTTGACTAATTTAAGTAAATTTAAAAAATTAATTAAGTTTACTATTTGTAATAAATATGTATTATCTTGCTAATCCTGTGTGAAATCTTTAATATGTACAACTATTACAAGGATTACTTTAAAAAAATAATTAAATACGAGAAATAAAATAATCAAAGTTTTATATTTATGATCAAATTAAAGTGACACTAACTTTTATATTAAAAATTAGAGATAATATTAGAAAAAAACCAGTAGGGATGAATATGTTGGGCAAACAATTTTGAAGATGACTCATGAGTTGAATCCTTTTCTTCTCCAAGAATTACGCCATGGAATAGCGAGAGACCCTTGTAGAAGAAGGAAAGGTGGCTTTATCACCGAGGAACTTTCGCAGGTGGGGACCTCACATGCTCAATTCAAAATGCCTTTTGGACTTTGGAGTCCCTCAGAGAGTGCGTCCATGTCTCTTGAGATTTACTGTACCATATTGACGTCCTAAATGATCAATAATGTTAATTTTACTGTGGAGTCCGTATGGCTATGTCAATTTAAATATGATGAGTCTTAATGGATTTGTTACGCCAAAAACAATACTCCTTCCGTTCCTTATTATAAGAAACAAATAATCAAATTATGTTGATAAAAAAAACAGTTAAAATTAGTTAAGGACAATTAATGTGTAAAAAGTATAATGTTTTTTCCAACAATACCCCATTAATAAGGAGAGAGAGTATGAGAGAGAACAATTAAATTATTAAAACAAAGAGAAGTGGGAGGGAGAGAGAGTATGAGTTAGAGACAAAATAAATAAGGGTAAAATAAAAAATCAATACAAAAAAATAAAGACAACTTTTAAGTGTCTCTTATATATGGGAACATGCTATAAACATCAAATGTCTCTTATAATAAGGAACGGATGGAGTACAAATTAAATGCATGGACACACATTAATATATCAATGCTAGGCTTGAACTTTAAACCTCGTCCAAGCATGACGAATAGTACTGCTACTGTATGAATTTATTGATATGTGTAGAAGGACGAATTAAAATTAACACAAAAAAACTTGAATTTACAAGCTGATATGATGACACGCCATAAAGTGTATGTTACAGATGTTCAATGCAGCATATTCATCGCAGCAGCAGCTTGCCATTAATACCCATCAAGGACATGAGAAATGAGACAAAATCAAATAAGAACTGGAAGAGTGTTCAAGAGACACGAAGTGTGCTTGTGAACAAGTAAAAGGCTTTGATTAATTTAAAAATCATTTATATTTTTCACTCAATTGGATTAGTGTCCCGAGTTTCTTTCTTCTTGTTGTTTTCTTTTTTTTAAACTATATCTATATTTTCCATTGTTTTAGGCATAACTATTTTGAGTGTTTAAGATATCTAGTTGAACTAGATTTTAGTTTGATATTATACCATATAAGTATATAAAGTAATCAGTTTTTGATCAGTAACTCTATTATTATTGTGGGAAAAAAAATCATGTACAGTACGCAAGAGCAGTGATGCATCTCTAATAGAAATGAGAAGCTCCCCTATATCTATCCAGCAACCATTTTTAGCTTTCTATAGTGGGAATGCAATGAAATAGCAATTAGGATGACGTCTTTATTTTTTTTCCCATTATTGCTAAGTAAAACATATAAAACGAAAGAAAAAAATAAGGTAATGCAATAAACACAGAGCACCAATTCCACTCAAAGAAACTATGGAAAAGGTAAGAACTTTGTCAACATAAGCATTTACTTTTGATCACAAAATTTCGGCAGTTTGCTAATCGTGAAATTTCCTGTTAGTGGACCAAGAGTTAGTTCCAAACTAGCAGAAAGATTTTGGTAAACTGATCATCAAAACGCAAGACAGAACGTATAAGAACTTTATGAGTACAAGTTGTTGATTTACCAGGGACATATCGGTCCCGATTGCAAACAGTTTCGTCATTATGCTGCTTGCCAACCAGAGATCGAGGTGCAATTTTGAGAAAAACGTTTGTTCCAATTTCTTCAAACAATCAAATGAAGCACTACTTCAGTATTTGCTCCTAATCTCCATTGAAACTGCTTAAAAACAAAATTTTATTTTACCAGTAATCTTTGCAAGAACATAGACCCTGGTTGAATCTATGAAACCGTGCTCTATCTCGCACAATAATCTCCCTACTATAAATCTTCGATATAATTTTGATCACAGCATGACAGTCCACACATATTCTAAGGTTTTTGTTAACTTGAATTGGTGTTCCATCTATTGTACTAATCAAACCAAATGCCACTGCCAACTTCTCACTGTGATAATTCAAAACATTCTCCTTGTCCTCCTCTCCTATATCATGCAATACAAGATCAGTCTCAGCTGTATATCCATAGGCTTTAATCCTGAACTTAATCTCATCCAGCTTTGCATAGATCTCCCTCGAATCTGGGTGACTCTGATCACCATTTACAAACTTGTGTAATACACCTTCTACTTCCATGTAACTAAATCCTGGCACCTTCTTCACATCTCTATTTCTCATGGCTTCCCTCACCCTCCCTACATCATCCCATCTCTTTTGAGCTGCATAAATATTTGATAGCAACACAAAATCTCCACAACTGATGGATCCCATTTCCACCAGCTTCTTTGACGCCATCTCTGCCATTTCCACATTCCCATAAGTCTTGCTGGCCCCAAGCAAAGTCTGCCAAAGTACTTCGTCAGGGAACATAGGCATAGAGCGTATAATATCACAAGCTTCTTTGAGCCTTCCCGCTCGACCTAACAAATCAACTACACTCCCATAGTGCTTAACGTTGGGTTTCACCCCAGACTTCAGCATTGAATCAAACAAGCTAACACCCTCTTCTACTAAGCCAGCATGATTGCAGGCACACAATGCAGCAAGATATGATACTGCATCTGAAGGCACTCCATCTAAAGCCATTTGACTCAAAAGATCCAATGCCTCATGTCCATCACCATTCATTGCTAATGCCATAATCATTGTATTCCACGTAATAATATTTTTCCTGCAGCTCATGTTATTGAAGACTGAATATGCTTTATCTACAAACCCACATTTCGCATACATATCGATAACTGCATTACAAACAATCACATCCATGTCTAGCTTCTCATTCACTATAAACACGTGAATATTTTCACCCTGTTTTGAAGCACCCAATTGCGAACAAGCAGAGAGTGCACCAAGAACAGTGACTTCATTTGGCTTCCAGCCCTCCTCCTTCATTCTGTTAAACAAAGCCATAGCTTCATTGGGTCGATTCCCCTGTGCCAACCCAGATATCAATGCATTCCACGAAGCTATATCACGTAAACCCATTTCATCAAACACCTTTTGTGCACCATCGAGATCACCCGATTTAGCGTACACGTCCATCAAAGTGGTCTGCAACAAAACATCAGCTTCGACCCCAATACGCACAATATGAGAATGCATCTGTGAGGCTTCAGAAAGAGCCAAGGCACGCGCGCAAGCCTTCAGGACAAACGAGCATGTTAGAGCATCCACCCTTTGGGACCTCCGCAACATGGTGCGGAACCATGAGATGGCTTGTGTGGGAAGAGAGCTCTGCGCTAGGCCGCGAACAACGGCATTCCAATCATTGGTGGAAGGTATTCTGATTTGCCGGAAAATTTCGCAGGCGAAAGAAAGGTCGCCGGAGGGTGAAACGGCGCAAAGCTCGAGGAGCTTGGTGCGAGAAGGGTGGAACTGGAATTGACCGGTGGTGATAAGATGAGCTTGGAGCTGCTTGACATGATAGAGAGAAGCGCATTTCTGTAACAAGGCGTCCAAGTGGAGGGCCATTCCATGTGATCGAAGCGGGAAGATCAAACCAATTTAGCTACATCTTTTCTGTCCGAAGGATGACTGCTGCTCTTTCTTGGGGCGGATCTATACATATATCAACCGAAAAAAACCATAATATGGCATTCTTATTTAATGCGTTCAATATATTGATATATTTTTAAAAAATGCATACATGATATAACAAATACTACATTAATAATAATTTTTTCACCAACGAAATAAATTAATAATATTTTTTTGTTACTTTTTTTAATTTGGAAAATAACTTTTTTAGGAATTAATGCATATTTTATGAAAAGCAGTAAATGAGTGCCTTTTTTTTGTTAACTTTTGAAATCGAAATTAATAAATACTATTGGTTATTTTTTTTTATCTCCATTATAAATTCAAATTTAAATAATTACTATATCAGAATCAGAGTAGATAGCTTTTGGAGTTTTGGAGAATTTCAAAGCTTCTTGCCTTTCATTTAGTTTCCTTTCTGGCATGAAATGAAGTGGTGAATTCATATCGATTAATATCTAAATACTACCTCGGATCCTTGTTATAATAAAAAATAGATAACTAATTCACTGGTATGAACAAAATAGTTCAATTATTTATTTGTAATAATTGTAAGTTAATTTTCTTAATGTAGCTTATATAATTATGTGTATTGGAATTATTCTCACTGAAAATCCTCTTAATATGTACAATTAATAAAGACACTTCTAAAAAATAATTATAAATTTAGAAAATAAATTTAACTAAAGTCTTATAATTAGAATCAAAATAAACTCATTGTGTACCCCGTATCTATAGTCTGTACGAGAGTCCATGTCTTCCTCGACAAATGAATCACTAGAAGAGGGAGGAGGAACAAGAGAGATCAAATGTCCACAATCTTGTTTCCATTCATTCTCAATACAAGAGACTACACACTAACACAATCAAATCCATCATCATCATCATCATCATCAAAGGAGGGACATTCCCACAGTTTTCTATCTAAACCCAGAAAGAAAAAAAGTGCGACTCAAATTCATCTAGCAACTTCTGCTAGTTTATGGAGGATCAAAATGCTGTCACTAACCACCACCAGTTATGGTGGCATCTAAAAGACTCACGCACTCGTCAATCTTCATTATTTTGATAAATAAATTGCACAGCCAGTTTACCAAGAAAGTAAAAATCAATCCAACAACATGCTGAAAACAAATTTAACTGGAATTCCATCAATTAAAAAACTACATGCAATGATTTGGCTGAATCCTTATCTCATGAAAATATTGTCACATACTGTATTTCTTGGTTGGAAAACCAGTATGTTCAATCCCTTATTTTCTGGACTCCAACCCATCGAGCATAATCGACCCACCTATTCACAGAATATAGGTAATCATTTTTCTTTTTTTTTGAAAAGAAAGAAGAATGCAAAAATTTATATGAAGAAATATGCGTTCAAGTCAAGAATCTTACAACAGTGAGCCCAAGAAAGTATTGCCAGTTCTAACAGCAAAGCAAACTGCACTTAGCATAAGCTTGTTTTGATGTAGCAAAGGTTCTAGAATCCGCTGTTCGATGATTCCTGCCAGTACTTGGTACCTAAAAGACAGCCACAAAGACAAAGCCTCTGTTAAATTCTGCACACGCACCCAGAATTAGACTTGCTCAATTCATCTATGCAAAACATGTAGCATTATAGCTATCAAATACCTTTCATCCTCATGACAAAGATTTGGTTTTAAACCGATTAAAGCACGAACTATTACTTCAAACTTCTGTGAAATACCACCCTAAACCTTAATCCCACTGATATAGCTCTTTTTATCACAATTTATATAAAACTGCATACAGAAATCAACTTGCAAAGCAGCCTTAAGGTGGAGGAACTAAAACCCTTTTTAATACAAGGCCACAGCCTTAAGGTGGAGGAGCTACAGCCCTTTTTAATACAAGGCCACAAAAAATCGTGTAAAGAAAACTAAGTCAAATCCCACAGCAATAAGATCTCTACATCCTCGCGGGAGATGTTGCGGAGCATATGGCATTCATATAATGGGTTTGATGAACAAGCTAGTCCGCACATCTATTTGAATCTCTTAAAGCGCGATCCAAAGTAACAATTCAATCTCTCATGATATATAGCCTCTACATCACGGAGGGTTTAGGGTACATGTAAACTCCATATGCATTGTTGCAAAGGAGATTATTAAGACGCCCTTTTGAAGATATGTGTTGAGGGATTTTTTTGGTAGAGTCAGATATTCATATGAAAATAGGATTCCTTCTAATAACCGTGAATGTCAAAATTAGAGTATGATTATAAATGCAGCTCAACGGATATAACTTGGAAAAAAAAACTCCCATTCATCGTGGAGGGGGGGTGAGCAGGCAAAAAACCAGCATGCCAATTCAAGCTCATTATATTTTTTGCTTTCTTGATACTGTAAAACAATAGCAGAGATATGTTTTTACCAGCACCCTAAGAATCAATCCAGACAAACCTAGAATGGCATTTGAGAAGGTTAGCATTTCTATTCCTTGTCAAATTAGTTTAGCAGTGCAATTATTTCATTCAAAATATCAGCATTATACAACGGGACAGAAAAGACATCTCTCAGGTCAGAATTAATCCAATATTTCAAGTATGATTTTCTTGGCTAAAACCATATTACGACCTCCATTAACTCTTAAGGTGCATTGCAGTCAGTCATTCACAGCTTGATGTAATCTCCTTGAATATGATTTAATTTTTTAGTTAACAATTTAGCAGACAAAGAAGCAATAAACTTGCAGTAGAATGTTTTGGGCAATGACACACCTCAGGTTGCTAGATACTGCCATGTAAACCCCATATGCAACACTGGTCGATACTACTGGTACATCCTCAGCCTCAGCAGCAAAAGATTTGTCAACAGCCTTTCGGGCATTAATCAATGCATTTGTTACCCCTGTTCCAACCTGAAAAGGCACTACAACAGTCATGATGCCATCGCACAAACATTACATATTCTTTATGTTGATTTCATATATGCCATAATATACACCAATCACGAAACTAGATAGGTGACCCAGAGCCGACAAAGTAATTCATGCCTCAAAGTGACGTTCATCACAAGATGTGTATACAAAGTCTTCCTACCTAAAATCTATGAAACTATATGAAGAATATCATACAGATTAATCAAACAAGCAGGATCGGCCAAGCAGGAAAAAGAATAGAAAGATTAAGCATTGTGGGTGACATCGAACTGCAAAGGAACTGTTCTTTTAGAAAACTGTGCACTTGTATGATTCACATGAATGATATGGTCCAGACTCCAGAGAAGCAAGAGTAACCTAGAAAGAGATGTCTCTAAAACAAGATCTCATAATTGAACTTACATCATCTATTCAATTTGTTGACCTACTAACCTATTTCTTTTTCTTCTTATTTTCCAAAAAGAATTCAGCATTCTGGCTCTATACTTTTGATATAAGCTCTATGTACAAAAAACGTTAACACAAAACACTATGAGCCAGGTAGCAGCAGCAAGTTTCCAAAGCGAAATGACAATTTTCCTGTGATAACCAGTAATTATCCATGAAAATCAAAGCAATGAAAATGGTGCAATAGCTTTCCTATATTTTTCAAAAAAGAGAGAGAGAAGGGTGCAATAGCTGCCAAATTTTCTTTTATAACATGACAAAGGAGAAATTGGCAACAAGTTATGCTTACAACACATATTAAACTACATGGCAAAACAATTGTTAACCATGACTTATTTCTATTATTGTTAAGATCAGAATAGTAACGGCCAAGAGAATGGAACACCACTTGCAATGACCAGAAGCAAGGTTTTCAGTAATGGGCAGAGCTGATGCCATGCTCAGTCGATGAACACTATGACAACATTAAAAGGGTATATTTATGCATATAAAAAGAGTTAAATTACCAGAGATGCACCCGTCCCAACTGCGAATAACTTTGCTCCGTTACGCTGCACAAGAGATTGAGACAATAAAAGCCCATGCTTATGATGAAGTAATTTTATGCTATTCTTTACGTGATCCAAAACATACCACTATAGCACCTATTCTCTGTAGAAGAGAATATGACGTTCCAGCCAAGGCCACCTGTTCAATCAATGTAATATTCATATCATATCAAGTATCCGCAATCAAATTCCTCATCAAAACTACAAACAAAAAATAAAAACATATCGAAATGTGGAAAGCTTTGCCAAGAGTGCCAACCTGAAATGCATTTTCAGGACAGCCATGGAAGAATTTAGCAAGAGATCCAGCACTAACTGCAAGAGGTGGTCGGAGAGGAACAGTAGGAGCTGGAAGCCACACAAGCATAAAATCTGCCACAATAGCCATTACCTATTGAAGATATTAAATAAACAAATTAGATGGCACCTAATCTGCTTCATAAGGAAAAAAGCCATTACTTGCAGTGATCGTTTGTCTGCATGCTACAAGCAGTTCATTTTACAATTATAAACAATTTTACAGAGCAACTGGGTCTTTCAAACTTAATTCTCTTCTGGAAAAGCATCATGACCAAATCTTCCAAAGGAAACTGAGGATGAATGGGCAATTTATCCTTGCTTTTCAATTTATCATCCATAAAACACATTGAGATCCCAATCCTGAGAAGTAGGCTGGAAAACTTTTAGATCCACCTTGTTGGACAGTGTATTTGATTGCACTGGTCAACAAATGCTATATGACATAAAAGTGTATAGATATTGTTGAAAGGCATACCACATCGGCAAGGACAAAATCCAGCTCCTTGGAAAAATTTTCTTTACGCCGCTCCAACTCTGCAGCAGTCTGAAAGGCAAGCAGGATTCCCAATTTTCATTACAGACAGACAATATGTCTGAGAAGTGCTGCACTCAGAAGCACATAAGCTCCAAGAGAAGAACCAAGAAACAAAACTGAGTTTTCTATTCTGTATTTACCTCGTACAGCACAAAATCACTTAAAATAAGCCAAACTAAGTACCCCACAATAACAAGAACTGAGAAAATTATATTGATTTTCTAGATAGTAGGAGCAAAGCTTCAATTAATTAGAGACTTCGGTTCTTAACATTCTTTCACTTGGGCGTCCTCAGTCTACAGTTCAGTATGGATAATGATAATGGTAGGACCAAAAGCATCACTACATTTTGATTAGTTGAATTCAGCGGTGACATAACAATATCGCAGTTCATCTCCTGAGTTAACATGTCTTGTCTTAAATAAACTTAAAAATAAAAGAAAACGATCAAGTTCACAGAAATGTTGGTCTCAAACCTGCAGGGAACAGTCAATTGGAAATTCCTAACATGTCTTACTTGAAAATGTGGGTTTAATATTAACTGAAAAAATAGATACACGTCCAAAATGTGAGCAATTTAGGCTAGTATGAATATTCTTTCGGTCCTTTTTTTTCACTTTGATAGAAAAAAGTCTCCTTGTACGGCTCATATTTTCATTATCAGTTGAGTTACCTATAAGACTATTCATTTTACGCAGAGGACATAGCATTCTTATAATGGTGACTGATAAAATATAAACATGACGAAAGGAAGTGTCTTCGTCCTCAGAATAAGTGCCATGTAAAAGGAACATCTAACAGCATAAGAGTAAGCATGAAAGACCAAAGAAAGGAGATTTAATTCAGCTAAACTTGTAAGCATAAAGTTAAAAAAATCATGTCAAACATCAAACACGAATAATGTGTCTAATTAGCTAAATGCAATTAATAACATTCAGAGAAACAAACCTTAGTAAAGATCCCAACACCACACTCCATTGCAACCTTGGCCAGGAACAAATCATCCGCCAACAACCGCTCCTTAAACCCTCCAAAATTCAGCAAAAACCGGAAAAAAGCGGACTTCTCCAAATCCAAGAACCTACTCACAATCGAACCGGGAACGCGGCCAGCCTTGATCGCCGCCGCTAAATCCTTCGGCAAACTGTCCAGCGACCTGCCCACCTCCGCAAGCACCAACAAAGCCTCTTTCTTGTTATGTTCTCTGTCCTCCTCTTCACCGTCCCCTCCTCCACTGCCACCACCTCCGCCACCACCTCCCCCTCCATGTCCAATGCTCCCGCCATCGTCCCCAGATGAAAAAATGGAGCTACTTGCCGGCAAACGGAGCAAATGGGTAGGTGAAAAAATAGGAGTTGAAAAAGTGAGATTGGAAGTGAAGAGATGAGAAGATGGTTTTGCACGGTGGGAGATGGGGGTGAGGCTTGGAAGAGACGAGTGGTTGTGATAGGAACAATGGGGTTGGGAAGGACGAGAGAAGGAGAGGGAGGAGAGGTTGGAGAAGGAAGCGATGGCCATCTGAAAGAGAGAAGGAAGCGAAGGTGATAGTGAGAGATTTGGGAAGCGGTATAAGCGTATTTGACTGTTGACTGTTAAAAGTGAGGGGGAGAGAGATCAGAGGCGGGCGGCTCTTTGTTTTTGGTTTGGTGCGATCCTTGTTTGGTGGTGGAAGAAGGCGGGGGTCCTCGGCTTTGGCGACCAATCAAGCGCGCAAATGGTTAACTGTCTAAAGTCTCCACGGCTGTGTTCCAGTTTATTTTTGTCGACGGCAACATTATAATTTATCTAGCTTTTTTATAATTTATTATATTTAAATTAGATTCTTATAATTTAATTTATTACGCATCTTTATTATTGAGTGTAAAAATTATGGGTTTAATTTATAAAATTTTGCGATTTTTGCGAATTTATTCATTTTATTTAATACTACTGTTTTATCACCTATGAATTTCTAAAAATAAAAATTTATATAATATCAAAATTATTGAATTAAATAATGAAGACGTAATTTAAGCAAAATAAACAATAGAGACATTAAATTCTATGAATGTAAATTTTATATAATATATTTTTAATAATAATATATTGATAATTTCAGCGGTTTCATCTCCCCCCCCCCCCCCCAAAAAGTTGAAGTGGTTCTGTAAAGGGGAAAGTCATTTATGCGTCCTCATTCGGTGAAAAATTTCAGATTAGTACTCCCAACAGATTTATATAGTATTGAATCTCAATCAACCAATGTTTTTATATTTTGAGGGTTTTGAGTCCGAATATATTTAAATCAAATTACTTATATTTATTATGTTAAATTTTGCGACCACACATAATTATGTGTTTTATTTTTTAGTTATTAACATTTAATATCATTTAATTATAAACTCATAAAAATACATAAAATACATAACTATATATAATTAGAAAAATTAATATAATAGATATAAATAATTTGATCTAATTATTTTTTTTTCAATCTAATGGTGCCCATAAAAGAATGTTTTGGACTCATTGAGTTCCCCCCCCCCTACTTTTTCTTCACTTTGCGTCTCTCTACCTTTCATTTTTCTTTTCTTTTCCCTTTTTTTTTTCCCAATCTGAAAGCTTAAACCTCGTTGCATCGAAGATGTGATTATCAGATTTTTGGCCAAAGGAAAAACGTATGATGCCAAGACAACAGCTTTTGATTTGTTCCAGCAATATTCGAAAATGGCATAATAATAATGGATATTTACACACACTTCTATCTTTCATGCGACTTACGATGTTAAATTATGCCAATTGATACTTTTTAAATTGGCTCTGGATATTTATTGCGTTAAAAGAATTAAAATACTACTCCTCCAGTCCTTAATATAAGACCCATTTAACTAATTTGATTAGATTAAGAAAGTTAGGTAAGTTAGTTAATTATAACAAATGTGACATGTTTTTCCTAAAATACCATAACCATCTTTCTTAATACTTTCTCTCCCTCTTGTACTTGATTATGGTTGAGGGAGTATCTATAAGGGTAATTTAGAGAAAATTGATAAATATAAAAAATGGGTCTTATATTTAGGACCAAAACTAATTCAATAATTGGATCCTATATTAAGGACCGGAGGAGTACTATTTAACTTCACACTAAGGTCCAAAAAAAAATTAAAAAAAGACTTCATATGAAAATAATAATTTATATCTTTTTAATTTATTCTAGTGTCACTCCAGCACAGGGTCCTGCGTCAAGTTATTGTTAAAAGTAAATAATAAGAGTGGTGGGGAAGAGTTTGCTTAAGTTATGAGCCATGATCATTTTTATATAATTAACATTAACAACAAAATAATTAATAAAAAGACCTCTTCATTGAGTCTTAACACTCACTCCATAATTGAATGATTGATAAATTAGAGGCTAATACAAAATATCAAAAAGGCAAGCCAAATGTTGAGAATTAATAAAATATTAAAATATTTTCATTTTCTGAACTAAAATTTGCACATATTAATGTTCATATTCCTTATTTGGCGCATGATTTTCCCACTGAAATATGAGATGTTTGGGCTTTGTTAGAAAATAGGGGTGAAGAGAAAAATATATATTATATAAATAGCGATTATATTATTGAGACTTACTCTTAAATAGTGACAAAGATCAATTATGTAAGTCAATACCTCCAAAAAAAAAAAACATCGAACTTTTGCTAAAAGTTAAAACATGCAAATTGTTTGGATCAAAATAGGCTAATAAAATACTAAAACAGCGATAAGTGATCCAGATTCCTTCCCCGTGATATGCAGAATGAGGATGTGTATGTGTACACACACACCGTATGGTATATTTCTATATAAGGACAAAGTCCTTGAATATCCTGCAGGCATACGCAAAGAATGAACACCTAATACCTAAAATTATTTTTGATTTTTATATAATCTGAGAGTTTTATTTTGTAACATTTCCCGAACTATTATCTACAATTAAATTTGACCATTAAAAACACAGGTCAAACTTAATCGGGGATAATTCTTAGGGTATTTTTGTTATGAAAATAAACTTCTTTTAAGTGGTGAGTGTTTCTTTATAGATATTTTCGGAGTATTCAAGCACATTATCTCCTCTATATATATATGCAAATGATTTAAATTATAATTAGATTATTTATATTTTCTAATATGAATAAATATTGAGACAGCAGATTTTAAATTGGTCAATATGAAATTTTTTATTTGTCTAATGGTCAACAATATTCCACCTAGTGACAAATTACTTCTGATTCTTAATTTTATCTTTTATCTTTATATATTGTTTTAAGGCAGTTGTTATAGTAGTTATACATATTAAATATTTTATCAAATAACACTTGATTGATAAAAGTATTTTAGGAAAGATAATACTTATTTATTACAAATAACTAACTCAACCAATTTTCTGAACATACTCAAATTAATTAACCAGCTCTTATATTAAATACTCAAGATAATATTGTTTAGGGTTCAAGTTCAACCATTTACACAAAGGTGATGTTTTTTTATTTTTAATAAGATGTAAAAAAAGGTCGAAGTGCTAACAAAGGTTTCAACAAGTTAGTATGGAGATGGTTCATAATCCTTAAAATTATAAGTCAAATCTTGTTGCTGATATAAGAGCATTGTTGGTGGGCAATTCTTAAATACTTCTCTAACCATTTTTAAGTTTGGAGGTTGGTAGTTCAATTTGCCTAATTTTTTTTTTTTTGTATTAAAAAAGAAAGTTGAAGTGAAAATCAACGTTGAACAGAGGAAAGCTAAAGCCGCGATGAGTTGTATGACGAGTTAATTTCTTTACTTTCCTAAATTAATTCATGACAAAGCTAATAAAAGTAGCACAAAAAATATCCATAAATAAAGTCATGAATATCCGAGAATTAAAGTCAACAAACGTTCTGCTGGGAAAAAAAGTCTATTAAGCTCAACGCTGCTTTGGGCCCCCGACAAGTTTTGTTTGCGTTGGCCTGCGGCCGCTTGACTGTAATTAAGCTCTTCGCGCCCTTAACCCCATATTTTCTCCCGCCGGCGAAGAGAGACGAAGTTAGAAAGAGAAGACGAAGAAGAGCGGCCTTGTACTCTGAATTCTGAATAAAGGAATTTTCCAGGTAAATCTCTCTTCGTCTTTGCAGAACCCTTCTTTCGGGTTTTGTTCTCCTCTTCTTGCTCTTACCTGTTTCATTTTTACACTCAGTAATTTGTGATATGCGGTTTCTTGTCCTCGATCGCAAACCTGATTTTCCTTACTTATCGTGATTGAATCCGTCAACTTTCGGGGAATGTATTTTTAGTCGTCGATAACTAACCTAATTTTCTTTACGTATTGATTGAATCCATCAACTTGAGAGGAAGGTACATTTCTAGATATTCCATTTCCTCCCTAATTCTCCTTCTTATGTCTCTCGTCTTTTCTCTGGGCGGGAATTTCTTTTCTCTTTCTTAGATGGTACTTGGTCTTTCTCGCTTTTTGGTGTTCATATGTTTTTTGTGGCCAAAGTTTTGTGTGTTCATATACGCTTCCTTTTGATTTCCCATACCCGATTATTAGAAATTCTGTAACATCCACAACGTTGTTTTTTGTTTTGTTTAATAATGATTGAATTAAAGAATGTAGTATCTCTCTGTCAAAATTTGATATTGATGAACATATTACTCCGGGTATCCCATTGTATTTTAAAACGGTTTCAGTCCTTCTTGTTCAAACTTCAAATGCAATATTTGTTTTATGTTCTCTGTCTTTTATCTCTTTTCATGACAATTGATAAAAAGTCCAGACAAACGTTGACAAGTGCTGAACTGTACCTCCTCAAACCTGTATTTGCACTCACGGCCAATTCAATCTCTCTGCGTAGCTTTTTTTTTTTTTTTTTAATTCTGTTGGTGTTGAGAAAACAGGAAGGGATGCTGATGGAAGCAGACTCGGAATGTCAAAGTTGGGATGAACAAATACCAGAGGCTCTAGGACTAATCCTTAGCAGAGTGTCTCTACAAGATGGAGCGAGTGAACATCATTTCTGTCACGAGATAGACCTTATGAAATGGAGCAACTGTCCCCAGCAGCCCGACCAACTAGATCCAATTGTCCAGATGCTCGTCACCAGAAGCTCTGGTTCCATCAGCACCCTCTGTGTTTCTGGTCTCCAATCTGACTCCATCTTCACTTTAATTGCACAAAAGTATGCGTATCTAACTTTGATTCTTATGTTCTTACCTAAAAGCACAAATTATATTGGTCTTTCTTTCTTATATGGTCCTTTTCTATTATTCAAGTGCGAGCTGTCTCCGAACCCTGAGAATTCCCAAGAGCAGCTTGAGTGATTTCATGATGGAACAGCTTGCAGGAAGGCTTCCGATGATTTCTTTCTTAGATGTGAGCTACTGTATGAACTTAGGTGCCCATGGACTTGAGGTGCTTGGAAAGAATTGCACCCTTCTGGAAGGGTTGTGCAGGAACATGCGTCCATGGCACACTGGAGATCATGATGATCCTTCACGAGATGATGAAGCAATGGCGATTGCTTCCACAATGCCTAAACTCAAGCATCTTGAAATTGCTAGCCATTGGATGACCGCAGAGGGTGTTCATAAGATACTCTGTGCTTGTCCCAAGCTTGAGTATTTTGATATGTGGGGGTGTGAGAATGTAGAAGCTGGAAAATTGGGTCTGCACAAGTTTCCAAAACTCACGGTATGGGGGCCGCGTGCTTACAACTGTTTTGATGGAGTAGACAATCCATCAGAGGAAATGGATATAGAATAAGCATGGTGTAATTTACATCAGAGGAAATGGAAATGGAATGTGGTATCACCTGGCAACTTATGGCTCGTGGCATGGGAAAATATTGTAATTATCAAATTAAGTTATGCCTTCTGCGGGTAAGTCAGTTAATGAGGATTCTGAAATATATTGTTCTCCATCTCCAAAAGCCCTACTGTCCGCACACTCCCAACCTTTTTCAATCAAGTTTATTGATATGCATGTATCATACCTTGATAAGGGAGAGAATAATCTTAAATGTTACTATTTTTTTTTTTATAAAAATGAAATTATTATTTCCAAAATTAAGAATAAAAATTTTAAATTTTGACTGTTCAAATTAAAGTGTGATATTTGTCTAATTTTGGTTTTTTTAATATAAGCAATATAGATCCAAAATGGTTCCCCGTTAAAAAGCAATATTTGGTACTCATAAGGTTTAAAATGATGCACACTCCCGCCTCATTGCCTCCTCAACTTTGCTTTATGCCGCCTTGTGTGCCTGTTTCACCAGTGACTGCTCTGCAGTTTCTGTATAAAAAGAGGTAAATCTTTCTTCTTCTTCTCACACTCTAACCACAAGCTTTTTCCATTTTTGTTGAGAGAGAACAGAAGGGATGGGGATCAAGAGACGAAGGGAAGAAGAAAAGATGGGAGCAGCGTTGGAACATTGAAGGTGGGGTGGATTATCAACGGACACACTAGGGCTAATCTTTAGCAAGGTTTCGGTCCATGAGAGGGTGACCGTGATCCCAAGGTCTGCAAACCCTGAGCTAAAGCAGTGACTCAACCTCATTGCTGGCAAGATATCGACCTTTTGCAATGGACCTGCCATCGCTGGTTACTTTGCCAGCAGCCGGTGGATCAACCGGAAAGAATGGTCCAGATGCTCGTCACCAGAAGCCCTGGTTCCCTCCACACCCTCGGTGTTTGTGGTCTCCAATCTGATTCCATTTTCACCTTCATTGCCGAAAAGTACGCATATTTTGCTCATCTTTTAATTTGTTCATTGCTGTCTCGATTAACATATTTAACTTTTGGTTTGATTCTTATGGTTTTCTACTGACATTGTTTTCTTCGAATGCATTTTCTTAATGCTAAGACTAGAATGTAAGATGAAATGTGAAGACTTGGTAACGAGAAAGAAGTCAAAGAACCCACAGTGACAAACATGTAAACACAAAACATCATTAGTATTATTGCAAAGAACATGCATAAATGCATGCTATTAACAGAACCAGAGTTTATCGATGAATAATGTACAGAGAAGATGCTAAAGCTCCTCAGAATATTATGTTGGTTTATTTTCACTGGGACTTATTATTTAGTCTTTCTTATATGTTTTCCTTTCCTTGTGTTATGCAAGTAGGGGCTGTCTCCGGACTCTGGTAATCCCCGAGAGCAAAATCAGTGATTCCATAATTGAACAGATTGCAGGAAGGTTATCGTTGGTTACTTTCTTAGATGTAAGCTATTGTATGAACATGGGTGCATTTGGACTTGAGTTGATAGGAAAGAACTGCAAGCTGCTGGAAAAGCCGCACAGGGAAATGGATCAGTATGATACTGGTGATGAGCCTCCAAGAGACGATGAAGCTATGGCGATTGCTTTCACGATGCCTAATCTGAAGCATCTTGATATTGGCGGCCATTCAATGACCACAGAGGGTGTTCGTAAAATACTAGGAGCTTGTTCAAGGCTTGAGTATTTGAGACTCTGGCATTGCTCGAAGGTTAAAGGCGAAAGCTTGGGTCCGGCGAGGAAGTAATTCCCGAGACTTACCGTATGAGGGCCGTAGGGGTGATCATTTTGTTATCCGAAGTAACAGAGCAACCAAATATTCATATTTTCAACACCGAATCAAGACCGAGCGCTACTAACTAACCGAAATAAATCGGTTTGGTAAACGATTTGTTAGGTTATTTAGCAAAACTACAAGCAGTCTCATAGCATACAGATGGTTTAAAATTTAATGCTTCACTTTTATAGATGTTTGAAAAACGACAATTAAGGAAAAAGCTGTTGAATTTAGTTAGCAATTGTAATGAGTACATACATACAACAAGTGGGGACGAATTGAAAGTTGGGGCGAATTTGTGAATATCGAAGTTTGATTTTCGGACATAAGTGGTTAAATTTAACTTATAAACATGCAAGTTTAACTTATGAATATGTCTGCCAAAAAAAAAAAACTTGTGAAGATGATCTTTTTGAGACTTATTTGTATTTAATTTTCTTATTTGGATCTGAATAAATTTTCTTTAAATATTCTACTAATTTAATTTTTCATTTATTGAATTGATTATAGGAGCTTAATTAAGTGGTTTTTTGTGCCAACTAACTACGTTGTTTACCAAGTTGGCAAAAAAAAATCTGACTTCGCAAAAGTAGCCCCAAAAAAAACCCCATTTTTTGGGGTGTATGCCAGTGCTGTGTTATTTTGGGCTAGAAATACATGGGACCGCATTCCGTGCTCATCAGCTTGATGAGCACGGCGTGCTCATCGCTCAAAACGCCAGCGTTTTGAGTGCTGAGCAGTTCAGGACCTTAGTTTTTTTTTTTGTTTTTTTTTTCTCCTTGTTCATCATTAAAAAAAATATGGTTTTTAATATGAAACCTTGTTTGAATTTTATCTTGATCCTAAATATAAGATTATAATCCATTTTATCTCTCATATTTATCTAGTTTTTCTTAAAACAGTCATTGTAATAATGGTAGTTTTAACCAGTACATTTGATTAGTAATGACATTTTAAAAAAGATAACATCTATTTATTACAAATAACTAACTTAACTATTTTTTTTAATCTATTTAAATTAGTCAGTTAATTCTTATATTAAGTACCAGAAGTAGTATATATTAAAATTATTTTTGGATTAAGTTTCATCGAATACTCTAAAATAATTTTTCATGTGTATTCAGTAAAAATATGGATGCATCTAAAAAATATTTTTAAAGCATTGGATGAATCACAAAATATTTTAGGATATTAGATGCATTTGACAAAAAAATTTCAGGATGATAGACGAATCAAAAACTATTTCTAGGATGCTGAACTTGCTTGAAAAATAATTGAGGGTGTTAGATAATTACAGAAAAAAAAAATTTAAAATGTGGGACACATCTAAAAAATATTTTAGTATGCTAGATAAAACACAATATTTTAGAATAATAAATATACCTGCAAAAAATACTTTAGAGTATTAAATAAAACTTAAACTGAAAATAATTTTTATGCATATATTTTTTTAAATAATAAAAGTGAAAGGGGGGAGACCTAAGGTCCCACGGTGCTCAGCACTCAAAACGCTAGCGCTTTGAGTGCTGAGCATGCCATGCTCATCAGCTTGATGAGCACGGAATGCGGGCGCTTGAAAGTCCATTTTTTATTGCAATACATCTGGAAAACCGATTCATTGGATGAAGGCTAATCTTAAAGCTGATAGTTTAAATATGATTTTTATACATTAAACGGATCAAAATCATTAAATGGTATTTTGATCGGTTTAATAAATGAATGGAAACGCTAAATTGTAATGAAAAGGTTGGTCAGAAAAAACTTGTAATCAATTTGAAAACTCAGTTGTCCAAAACAACATTTTTGGAATAAAAGAGGTCAAGTAAGAGAGTTTTTCTTAAATTATTTGAGCGAAGAGATAATAAAATTAGAACGAATCAGTTAAACCTCAATTATATTGTTTATGTCTCAATTTAAAAATAATTATTAAAAGTAGATTAATAGTCTTCAAGTTTTTTTTAAAATTATCTTATTTTTTATAAATTATCTTTATATAGGGAAAATTACAGAAAAATGCTCTTGAAATATCTAAATGACAAGTCTAGAGCTCAAATTTCAATAATCCCAAAAAACTATCTCTTTTTTTTTTTTTATCCCTTCTAACTTATGAACACTACTCCAAACATGTATTTAGATTGACACCCGAATCACCAAAAACAACTCTTATTCCATCCAAACACCTCCCAGTCTTCAATAACTCCTATAATTTGTTATAATCATTCAACATTTCCACATGCTTTCTACATTTTAATTTGCCCAACAAGAAAAAAAGATGTCTAGGTTTTAGCAAGAGCTGATTTCAACTCTATCATTTTATCTTAGTTGAATAAAGTTTGTCTTTTATACACACACACATATATATGTAAAGGAAGAGTCCGTTTCAAATTATAATGTCTGTACACAACTAATTCATCATTCTTTTTTGGCAACAACTAATTTATTGGAAGGCAATAACTCATGTTGAAAATTCAAATACATTAAATGCTTCTCTTCTTTCAAAGCGCTCTCTTTTCTTATCATAATTCATATATTGGTTAAATGAAGGCAATAATCCAAGTTGAAAATTCAACTATATTAAATGCTTCTCTTCCTTCGAACCCTTCTTTTCATATCAAAAGTAATTATATAAATAATCTAGGCATGGTTGACCCGGTAGTCAAAAGTCATGAGACACAAGGGACCAAGGTGAGATGTTTTTTCCTCCTATTCTTAGAAATTGTGGCTCTTAAGAAGTCCATTTCTAACTTAACCGTGTTGAAAGTCCATTTTTGATTGCAATACATCTAGAAAACAATTCATTAGATGGAGGCTAATATTAAAGCTAACCGTTTAAATTTGATTTTTATGCATTAAACCGATCAAAATCATGAAATAGCATTTTGATCGGTTTAATAGCTGGTTCCAAGGAAGACATAAGAAAATGTTTACTCAAATAAATGAATGAAAAAACTTGTATTGAAAAGGTTGGTCAGAAAAAACTTGTAATTAATTTGAATACTCTAATTAGGCATTATATTCTACTTAAAATTAAAGATGACCACTAAACTAACAAAATATGTTGTTCGTTCTTTTGTGAGGTTTCTTCTTATATATTGTACTTTTCTTCTTCTAGTTAACATGTCATCAACAAAGATCATTCATAATTTCATTAATGTCTTTATAAAACAAAAAAGGAATGCCAACAAAAATTTGTGGTCATTTGTAAATTCAATATTGTCAATATCAAGTAAAGTGTTGTTACTAAACCTGATTTGGGATTTAGTAATTTTTATTTTTTTGGGTCATTCTCCCAAAAAATATTTAGAAAATAAGAAAATAAAAAAATAATAGCTTGCGAGTTGGCTAAAAGCCAACCCACCACACACGGGCTTTTTTAATCTGTATCACCTAATTCTAACCCGTCACAGTCCAACCCACAACCTGCAGGCTTGCCCATATTACCACTCCCAGTTTGGGATATAAAAAGGATATTTAATATTATATTTTATGAATATATACACACACATCAATTATTAATTATATAAATAATAAATTGATCTTACATGCTACCTGTCGTCTAGTTAGAAGTTCAATTTGTCCTAAATATAAGATTTTAATCTATTCTATTTTTTATATTTATTCATTTTGCCCTTAAGTAATCCATATGATAATTGTACATGTTAAAAAGTTCTCATTAACAGGTAATCTCAATATACTTCTCTGGTCTTATTTATATGTTAGAGAGAAGACATTTTTTGTTCTATTTATAGGGTATTGGGAGAAATTTTTCGTATTGATGTATAATTTTGTTGACTTTGTTTATATGAGGTATAATGTATATTAAATAAGGATAAAGTTAAAAAATTATTGAATTTTAAATTAGAGTAAATAAAGTTTAAGATTTTTCTTGATCTGTGTGAAACATGTCAAAGGTGATTTATAAATATGACCAAATTAAAGGAGTATGTGATTAATAGAAATATTTTGGAAAACACAATATCTATTTATTACAAACAACTAACTTAGCTAATTTTTTTATATTTGCAAATTAGTTATTTAGTTTTTATATTAAGGACCAAAATAGTATATTTATTCAATTTTTCTAAAAATCTTATGACACATGATTTTTAAAATTTCTGATCTGGAATTTTCATTTTTCTAAAATATATTTAATCTTATATTTTATAAATATATACACATATATTAATTACTAATTATTAATTAATTACATTTTATAGATAATTTATTATATTGATAAAAAAGTATATTAGTTACTAATTTATTACTTTAAACAAAAATATGAATTAAAATCTGTTATAATTATCATATTAATTTATGTTATTTTTAGTAATCTATCTGTCTATCTATATAACCTATAAACCTTGTGGCAGTTTTGTGATTGGTTCATACGGCAGTTTTACGTGGCAATTTCTTTTGCATTTCATTGGGTGTTGGCTCTTGATGTCAGAATCCTTTTTCCAATGCTTCGTCCGCATTGTTTCAGTCTTGGTGCGTGTATCTGCGCCCGCATTCCGTGCTCATCAAGCTGATGAGCATGGCGTGCTCAGCACTCAAAGCGCTAGCGTTTTGAGTGCTGAGCACCGTGGGACCTTAGGTCTCCCCCCTTTCACTTTTATTATTTAAAAAAATATATGCATAAAAATTATTTTCTGTTTAAGTTTTATTTAATACTCTAAAGTATTTTTTGCAGGTATATTTATTATTCTAAAATATTGTGTTTTATCTAGCATACTAAAATATTTTTTAGATGTGTCCCACATTTTAAATTTTTTTTTCTGTAATTATCTAACACCCTCAATTATTTTTCAAGCAAGTTCAGCATCCTAGAAATAGTTTTTGATTCGTCTATCATCCTGAAATTTTTTTGTCAAATGCATCTAATATCCTAAAATATTTTGTGATTCATCCAATGCTTTAAAAATATTTTTTAGATGCATCCATATTTTTACTGAATACACATGAAAAATTAT